ATTTCTGCAAAGGGAACTGATTACTCACTACCTGGAATAGAGAATACCAGACAGCAGTCAATAAAGCATTATGTTCAATTCAATATTGCAGCTATTTGGCTACCTAAAGAACCCACTACAGAAAGACTTTCTGTAAAAAGAGCAGCTCCTAGAAAATAATCTTGAGGAGAAGAGTTTGTAGGGATTGAATGGCATAAGGGTTCCCTGGCAAAGAACTGTTCCTGTGTATGACGTACTGACACCATCTCAAGTTTCTTCTAGAAGTTATCCTGTCCTCTTGTTCTCCTCGCATCTCTGCTATTAATCAAGAAATGAGGTTGACACCAATCATGGACCAACAACTTCTGTTATACAGACATCAAAAGAGAAGTATGTAACCAAGGGGAAAAAGAGAGAAAACAAACCTGGAAGAAGTCCTGCTTTGCACTCTGGCCTGCCAGCAGTAGGCAGACATCAGGCATCTGACTTCTTCCTTAAACTACCAACATTACTGTATTTGATCTCGCTTTTCTCCTCTGATTCCCCCATCACGAGCCAGGAAAACTACTCCCCAGAAGCTAAGATACAGAAATAAACGGCAACTTGGTTTTTTTGGGGGAGGGGGAAAGAATCACAGGAAAACACCCTTATTTTTAGAGATTATAAACCATTTGAGGTAAAGATTGTCTCTGCTCTGGAGACTGATGATGTTACAACAGGAACAAGGTATTAAGGCATTCCTTAATTCATTAGCTGCCTGCCTTCTTCATAAAAGTCCCACAAAAAAAATTTTGTTTGTGAATTCACTGGACTTTTTGACATTATCACCACAAAAATTATATTAGAAAGTGGGATATACCATAGTACTTTTTCACTATCTTTTAGTATTTCAGTATGTGCCTGAAACATGTATTTAACAGAATATTAAATGATGTTGGGTTTTTTTTAATTCTAGAAGAAATGTGGAAAATGTATCAACTGAGAAATTTGCCTTTTGTCAAGATTTGCTGACAAACAATTAGGAATGGTACACTGCAAGGAATTCAAGGTTACTCTAGGCAACAGTCAAGCATAACTAAACCCAAGGTCTCTACTGAACCAAGAATACAGAACTCGGCAACCATATTTAAGTACTACAAAGAGTAACTCACACAAAGAACTAAAATAGTGTTGTTACAAAAACAGTTCATCCCATAGAGATCATTCAGCAGCTCTGTTCTTTGGATTAAGTCTTGATCATTGAGAGAACTTCGGATTCTGCTTCTCAGCCACGGACACCTGGCTGGCAGAGGGCACTGGGAGGAATGGGAGCCGCCCAGTGCCAGCAAAGACTCCCACTGCCTGAACATCAAACGACCTCTTGTGTCCACAGTGCAGAACTGCAAGACTACTTTCCTTCAGAAAGATCAACCCCACTACGTGCACAGAAGGAATGACAATCGCTTGGTTCAATTTCTACACCCAATTCCTGTGCATTGTCATACAAACATTACTGGAAAACCACCTACTCATTAAGACTTGGAGGATCACCTATGGAGTATTGTTTAATTGCATTTCATGAGAGAAAAATAAGGGTGTTTATTAATTTATTCAAAAGGTTTTAAAAAGCTGTCTGAGCGATCTTCTGCTCTTTCTTTGATCTCCTCCCCATACACCCAGGTTGGATATCACGAAGGGAGCTTCCACCGCTCCTCAAGCCTGGAAAAGGGAAAGCAAGGCTTTTCTGAGGCACCACTGAGTTGTACCTGCTGGGCTGAATCAGCTCATCAGACTTCAAGAATATTCCAACTACACTAAAACTGTAATTTTCAGTTTATACTCCTAAATAAGAAGTTCACTTTTCCAAAGCAGAGGTGGTCCTAGTACTTTTTCTACTGTACACATGGAAGTCTCCAAGTCTCTGGAAAATTCAGACCAACCACCTTCTCTTTCTCATTCCATTTTGAATCTTACTGACTATGGAATGTACAGTAGAAGTCATTAAGCTACATTTCACAGTTTACGGTTTTAATGGCTTTGCAACATTAGACACACAATGCATTTTCAAGCACCAAAAACTAGGCTTTGCTATCTAACATTTCATAAAGATAATAAAAGTTAATGAGCGCTCATGATCTATGATCTGACAAGACATCTGTTCCGTTCTTTCAGAGATAAAACACTCACCCTGCCTTGCTCTGGCACAGTGGGAGAGAACAAATATAAGCCTATTAATCATTCTAAACTATAAACTATATTAAGTTATAGTTCCTCAACAGGCTTTTCATACCCCCCTGCTAATAGTGCACAGGTGTCCTCAAAACAGTCTTCTAATGCAGTAATTAAATCCTACTAACTTCACATGGTCAGCTGCAGCAGACTGTACTGTTTTGTGTTTCAGCAGGGAAAAAACCCCAACTGTTCACAACAAGCAATAACGAAGTGGCTGTTACACCAAGAGTGCAGTGTCAAGAGCTCTATTTCCATTTTCTACATATTTTCATCATGTTTTTTTATTACGGGAGTATTCTAAAACAGTTTCATTCTGACCTGTGTGTGTATTTAGTACAAATGTTACAGGAAATACTACAACATACTTTCATATGGGACATGAGTAACATCAGCACAGGGGAGGAATGAGTAACCTGCCTCATCATTTCTGAGGCTGTAACAGGGTGTCATGGTTCACAGCCAGTCGGTAACTCAGCACCATGCAGCTGTTTGCTCACCCCCACTCTGGGTGGGATGGGGAGGAGACTCGAAAGAATGTAAACCCCACAGATTGAGATAAGAGCAGTCCAGTAACTAAGGTATAATACAAAACCACTACTGCTACCACCAGTAATAATAATGATAACAGAAATAACAAGCAAAGAAAATAAAAAACTAGAAGGGTAAAAGGAAAACAATAAACACAAGCGATGCACAATACAATTGCTCACCACCCATCGACCGATACTCAGCCCGACCTGAGCAGCGATCTGGATCGTCCAGGTGACTCCCCCCGGTTTATGTACTGTGCATGAAGTGCTGTGGTATGGAATACCTCTTTGGCCAGTTTGGGTCAGGTGTCCTGTCTCTGCTTCCTCCCAGCTTCCCATGCCCCTCCTCACTGCGAAACCATGAGAGACATAAAACTCCTTGGTCAGACTAAACATTACTTAGCAACAACTAAAACATGAGTGTGTTATCAGCACTGTTCTCCATCTAAAGTTTAAATACAGCACTGCACCAGCTACTAGAAAGGAGAAAAAAAATTACTGTTATAGCTGAAACCAGGACACAGGATGATCCGTCATAGGAAACTGTTGACAACAGGACAACTCTTGTTTTGTTACATTTGAAAACCCACTGATCAGCATTTTAGGAACACTGTTTGAGACCAGATTCAGCTTGTCGATACTTAAGTCACCTACAGTGTAATACAGAAATGCAAAATATAAAAATCTGATTTTTTTTCCCCTTCAATTCAGCCTTACAGTCTGACAAATTTTGGATGCAAGGCAGTATGCAAGGTTTTAGCTTCCTCCAAACTGCTCTGTATTACCATGAAACAGAACGTATGAAATGAAAAAAGAAATGAAAAAGATCACAAATTGCATAAAATTTAATGAACAACAGTATTTACAGTAAAACCCTGGGATAAAGAAAAAAAACCCCAGTTTACATAAAGAAAAATATGCAATTCCCAACAAATACCCTGTATTGACCAAAACACTGCCTTGCTATCAATCTACCTTACCGAGGCACATAAAGAAATATGCTACATAGCCAGGGAACCAAGCGCTGCCCAACTGTGCAGAAAAGCAAAGTACTTTTGCTAACTGAAGGAACCAAGATAACTGGGATTTAACATTAAAAGACCACAGACACTCAAACGTCTAACCTATCTAAATAATCTTAAGCTTCCTAGGGCACGCCAGAGAGGAACGGCTTCTCTCCACTGACTGAAGCAACAGTCTAACCAGCTTTCACTGGATTACCCAGCTGGAAGAGTCTGCTCTTTCCCCTAAACCCAGTATTCTCCTTAAACTGCAGTCACAGACACCACATGAGAATTTAAACCAGCATTTATGCATACATGTGCACAAACAGAACCAGAAAGGAAATACAGCTAAAAAGTCTATGTCTAAAGCTTAGCCCAAAGGGAAATTACTGTGGTAGCACTGAATCAGATGGTCCACAGATTTCTCTCACACTCACAGAGAGGTTACGTATGCTTTAGATTAACATCAGTAAAATCTGAAAAAACAGCACCAAGTAAGCAGCAGATCAGATGGTGAAACTCAGGCTACACATGCATTAGCACTTAGTGTAGGAAAACATGAATGGATTGTAGCAAACAGTTTCTGCTGAGGACCTGAACCTTAAAACCTACATGTTTGGAGGGTTTCCTATTCCTGAGCTCATTTACTAACTCGTCAGATCACATAGGTCTTGCAGACGTAATTAATGTTCACCCATTAGGATTTGGTACATTTTTGGATCATGGTTTTCTGTTTAGTTTCATCTGGAAAGAATCCAGTTTGCATTCTCTGAAGAAAAAAAGCATGAAAAGCAGGATGACCAAATTAGAAAATATACATCATGAAATAATAAACAAGAGTCCAAGAAAAAACCACCCAAAACCAAAAAACTACTTGTAGCCTGAACCAAAACAATAATGTAGACCTACCCTAGGGTCCCTAAAAAAGCAGTTATGCAAATGCACCATCTCCCCCAACAAGTGCAGCTACTTATCAAAAACAAACAATGAGCCATTGCTGTATATTTTTACATAGAGTAATATATTCTAATTTTATATACATTCTGACATGAGATTCTAATGATTATTGTCTTGTCAATTAACCTCAATATGCTCAAGTTCCTTATTTGCTTATGCCCACCCATACACTTTGACAATACCTTCTAATATGGTGCTTCCATGGCAATTTAAATTATAGTAAGAAAAATAAAATCCATGGTAAAAAAGAACAAACCATCCACGGTAAAAAAGAACAAACCATCCACAAAGACACACAAATCTGTCACATTCAGACTTAGGTTAAAATATTAAAATTTAATAATACCTTTTAAACATACAATTATTTAACGGAAAGAGTAAAGGCATTCAAACAATCAATATAGATCTTGAATAATATTTACAAATTCTAAACTGCAAGTTGACTATAAAGTCACAAATACTTTAAAGATTTAGTAGAATATAGTGTAAACTCTAATATAAATTAGATATTAACTTCATCTGTTATTTTTTCCAGTGATAAGTCTAGTCTTTACATACTATATACATTAAAATACTAAAAAGTTATAAAATCTTGTTACTATGCAAAGAAATGGAAAATACATCAGCTCTGTCTTACTGTACAATATCCCAACTGAACTTTCTATAGTGTTCTCTGAAAAAATAAATGGCACTTTGACATGCAACAAGGCATAAAGTACAAGTCTGTCCATTAGCAGTGCCATATGCCATCTGAGTGCAAAGGACTGAAACGCAAATGTCATTCAACCATACAGGTGAAAATCGAAAGCAAACTGTGGAAAAAGATTCTGACAAACTTTCTGATTCAGACTGAAGTCATAATGAAAAGTATGTAAACCAACTCCATACAAATCTAATTTTTAAAATGAAAGTACAGCATACTGAGCAGTTTGTTGTGAAGGTATCAAAGTTACTTTTGACAACGCATAGTGGACAAAAAGCTGATGATCCTGTAGGAATTCTGAAGCCCAGCCCTGCCAATGCGCTGCAGCATCTAAGCTGCTTTACTATTGACAGTTTCAAAAATCACTTCTGCCACCTGAAACTGCACATCAGTAGCCAAATGAGTTTTCTAGACTTCATTATGCCATTGTGTAACCATAGCTTCCACAGTGCAATGCCACAAGAAGCCTGTCCTTAAGGATTTCTTTACTTGGGTATTCAGGTAACTTGAGCATGTTGATACTGGGGGAAGAAAAAAAAAAAAAAAAAAATGAAGTCGCATCACAGTTCAGCAAGAAACCCAACAGTAAAAGTTTCTGCCTGAAAATCCTGAAGATGTCACATTTAAGGAAAGAAACAAAGCTGTGCTGCATTCCAGTACCACTGAGGATTCCAATATACTGCAGGAAGTAATTTTTTTTTTACTTGTGTAAACTTTAATACAATGATTTAACTTAAATATTCCCTTATTGATCCCACTGCCATTAGTTAAGCAAAACGAAGTAGCAAACAATGAGCAAACATAACATAACATCCACTATCTGGGTTAAAACCCACCACTTTAACATTGGATAAGTGAATACTGCACAAACCACCTAAATTTGTGGAGGGAGTTCGAAAGAATGGCATTTTGACTGTCACTGGCATGAAAAAGGCCCATTTCTAAGATATTTCAATGTGACTAATTAACATACCACGTGCTTGATGTTGGTAAAAGATTTGCAGTATACGGCACAGCAGCAATTGTAAAATTTTGCAAACCGCTGCCACCCATTATATGGGCAAAGCCACCATGAGGCACCCTGGAACTGAGAAAATTCACAGAAATTAGATTATTACAAGAATTTTATAAGCCAAAAAACCTGTAGTCTTTACACTGCAAATATCTCTTCCTGCTAGTAATTAAACTGTTACTAATACTTTTATCAAGGTTGACCCTTTCTTACCCACATTAAAATTCTCATAGTCTAAATGCTTTTAATTACAATACTAAATAATGCATTTGTCTGTTTACATTAGGCATCAAATTGTTTGAATGATATTTAAGAGAATTCTGTTTGTAAAAGCACTCATCTCTATGACCTGTTTTTATAATAGAACATTATCTCAGTTTAGACCAACATCTATGATTATTTATATTTACAGTTTAAGAAACATTACATCATAAACAAGTTTATTCTCCAATTGCTATCCATGGGACAACTTAACGAAGTATCCACAACATGTCTTTTCATTTACTACTCAGACTAATTATATCAAGTAACTAATAAAACCATTACATCAATCACACTATCCCACAGTGACAATCTACAGCAAAACCAGAGTACACTAAAAAAAACAAAACCAAAAACAACAACAAAAAAAATCCATAGCATTTTCATGAATGAATTCTCAGTTAATCATATTACTCATAATTCTTTTCCTTTAACCAGTATATTATTCAAAGATTATTCAAGGTGTAAGTACACAGTAGCCTTGGAGTCTTCAGAGTACCTCCCTATAATTTCAAACTTAAGAGACAAATATGACAAAATTAAGATATTTTTATATCAACTTAAGCTGGTATGCATTACATGGTAACACATTGTTAGCACAGCCCTCACACACACAAAAAAAAAAACCCAAATAATAATAAACCCAAAATAAAAACATAATGAAAAGATAAGGGCATAAGGACTAAAGAAGTTGCATGTGAGCCAGCAATATATCCTTGCATCAAAGGCCAGCAGGCTCTTGGGCTGCATAAGAAAGAATGACACCAGCAGGTAGAGGGAGGTGATCCTTTTCCTGTCCTCTCACTGTGCTCCGTGAGAAACATCTGGAATCCAGCAACAAGCTCCCCACACTACACGAGGGACAGGGACATATTACAGCAAGTTGAGCAAATGGCCACAAAGATGGTAAAGGATTGGAGCACCCAACACAAGAGGAGAGCAAGCTAGGACTGTTCAGTCTGGAGAAGAGAAAGCTCAGGGGAATCTGATGAATGTATATAAATACCTGAAGGAAGGAATAAGTAAGTTGGAGCACAAGTCTAAAGATGGAGCACCCAGTGGTACCCAGTGACAGAAGGCAACAGGCACAAGTTGAAATCCAGGAAATTTCCATTTAAACATGAGAAAAAACATTTTCAGTGTGAGGTGGTCAGTCAAACACTGGAACAAGTTGCCCAGAGCAGCTGAGGAGTCAGTCAAAACCTGTCCGGACAAGACCTTGGGCATCTGGCTCTAGCTAACCCTGCTCTAAACATGGGGTTGGACTAGTCAATGTCCAGAGGTCCCTTCTAACCTCAGCTACTCTGCTATTTCGTAGCTAGCAAAAAAAGAATGTAATAAAACAAAATAAAGCTTACATAAAATAAAGTACAGCTGTAGGATTTTGCATTACAAGTACTTACACTAAAAACAATGCTCCCATATTCACAGAATCAAAGTGACTGTAGAAACCAGGAGCAAGAATGGAAAAGAAGAATGAAGTAATGTTTCCACTCACAGTAAAACTACTTAGCAGAAATGCAAAAGAGTAAGTGTTGCTACTGCTAAACGTTAAGGAGCTAGGACAGAGCTCACAGTAATCCTTTTTAAACATACCTTTAAGAGCAAGCCAGAGCATAGTGCAATAGTTAACACGTAAGTCTGGATCACCTAGCTTAATGGCAGCAATGTCGGGCATATAGTTCTAGCACTGGTATATAAGGCAACCTCTATGGAGGAAAGTACTGATTATTTGCAGCCTACTATTTCTGACATACAAATGGAATTGTGCTCCAGTCACAGTTCAGAGCAGTTGTAAAGGTTTTACATCAGTACTCTTTCACACCATGGTTTTGGTTCGCATTTCTAATACAGTGCTGCCTCCCCTGCAGTGATGGTTTTTTTTTTCCCCCCTCCAATGAACCAAGAGAAATTAACATTCAAATCAGCAATAAAACACAGACCTAACTTGAAAATTTCATACGGCAGGTCAAAATCATACAGTACGATCAGGGCTTTGAACATTTGGTAACAGCTGGTTACCAATTTATGGCTTCAGAATGACTTTTCTTTCCAAGCAAAAACTGCTGATACAGTAAAGACAGACTTCCAAATATGTGCAAATAAGATCACGATATCTTACCTCTCCTACTGTGTGTGCCAATAGCCTTCAGCAAGACCAATAATACAATTTCATAACTTTGGAAACTTCAACACTTAAGATGTTTAAGTTTATATATGAATCCTACCTTTTCTACCTATTTTTCCACTTAGAGATTTCACATAAATTAGAACAGTGTAGAAGAGATACTTTAAGCTAGCTTCCTTATGTTTTGTTTTACTTTTAAAAGCAGCCATATATATCACATTTATCAAATATATTGAATTTCCCTTAAAAGAGCATAGAGCTTATTACTTAACATAAACCACAGTCCCTTAAGAAGTTGAACAGCAATCCTGATACCTACAGAATACAAATAAAGTAGAATTTATCACAATAAGCTGTCAACACTTCCCTGCAACTATTAACTAAAACCCTGATTAAAAGTGGCCAATTAATAATAAAAAGTAATTTAACCAAATGCTATTAAAAATACCAAACAGAACAAGAGGGGAAAAAATATAAAAGGATGCGAAATTGGAAATACCATCTCAAGAGCTGCCAGCAAAGAAAAAGTAGGTAGTGCATAAGTAAACATTCAGATCCCCGGCACAAGAATATTTAGGCTTTTTCTTGAGTGTGCCAAGACCTCCTAAGACACAGAATTTGATATTAAAACATTGCTCATGGCAATTACTTTACTGTTAAAAGATGTTTCAAAATTGGTGTTAATGATGAATGCAATAGTATCTCCTCTGAAACTATCAAAGCAAAACTTCATTGCATTGAAGAGAAAAAAAGGTGTATGAATGGGAGAAGAAGATGAAGTTTAAGAAACAGATGTCAGAGAAACACTGAAGACAATCACAAATGGAACTGTTTTATTTAATTCATTAAATAAATGTCATAGGCGTTGATTGGAAAGAAAGACTAATACCACTCCAAATACACACAAAATAAAAACCCAAACAAATCAATATGCAGAAGAGATTAAAAGGAAATGGAAAAAACAATGAAAATTTTGAATGCAGCCTGCCAACCAGTATACAGAAACCAATTCTTCACTAAGGAAATGTGACATCAGAAAAAGATCGTATTTTGGAATCGAGTATGATTTTAGTGTAAATTTTTACTGAAGATACTGGCCTGTATAGTGTCCTGGTTTCATCTGGGAGGTGGGAGTGAGCAGCTGCATGGTACTTAGTTGCCGGCTGGGCTTAAACCATGTTGACTAGACTAACTGGTATTTTAGTTCACAGACAACTCAGCACCTAAATGCACAGAAATTAGGACTGTTTGGGGATTTACGTGAAAAAATGCCAGCCACATACAACTCCTAGTGGTAACTTTCAAAAGTTAATTTTTTTTATGGAAAAACATGCCTATTACATTTCAATCACTGAAGAAAAAACACACAGGGTTCCTAGCTGATTAAAAAAAAAAAAAAAAAAAAAAAAAAAGGAAGAAAGAAGAGAAGCAATTTGTTTTTAAATTGCAGACCACAGTTCTAACAAGACATACCAAAAATTTCTTTCCTACTAACAAGAAATGGGTAACAACAAGTCAGTATGTAATTTGTAACCAAAATGAATGGTGCACATGCACATATTAATCAGACAACATAATTGACAGAAAGTGCCCCTTAGAAACAGTAGATTATCCCAAATGCCATAAAAATAGCAAATGCCACTTCAGTATCATTTGGAATGTTTTAAGAAGCATTTGAAACATGACCTTACATCTTAAAAATCCTTATTTGCCATCTGGATTTAGAAATGGACTAGTCCACTAAAAATGAAAGACCAGCCACTGGCACACAACAGATGCGCAGTTAGAACTGCAGGAATCATTTCTGCAGATGACAAAAAGAAAAGATCAATGTGCACAGAGCTAGTTTCTTAAATTGTCTGTGATCCCTACAACCAATGAAATTCATAATAAATCAAGTGAAAATAATAGAATTTGAAGACCATGCCATTTGATGATACATCCATGACTGTGAAATTCCTTGGTATAAAACATAGGGTTTGATGATCTTAATTTGTATTTTACCATTGCTTAACCACAAAACGTACAAACTAAAGGTCAACTACCCTACGAATATGAATAGAAGGGTATATAAAATTAAGATGATTGTGCAATCTCTAACTGCCACTAGAACAAGATTCCAGTAGACTCTACAGCTCAGGTGCCACATGTATCAATGGATCCACTTTGCAACATGTCTGTACACACAAACTCAGCAACTCACCCAGCCCAGACGGGCATTTATTGCTCAAGACCTTCCCCTACTGCCCTCAAACCAAAAAGAAGTAAAAGTGGCTTTCCCTGAAAAACAACTAGAGTTTAGGACAGAAATCTTTTGTAAAGCAAACAGAATCTAGGATAAATTACATCTTCACTTGATCTTGACACACTGCACTAATGCTGAATTCAACTCAGCTCTGTTCTGTTTACATTGACTGAAGTGATCCCTGGTAATCTCGTACACTAAAGCCTATACTTACTGATTACTGGAGGAGCCAAGAGCCACATGAATATGCAACAGGAAGAAGAATATAAAGTGCAGTTAAATTCACTACTGCCTTCTTAAAAATTGCCTGGGACAGCAACAAAGGCCTCTTGCAAATTAGTCAGGTATAGTAAATATATTATCAATCATTTTGCTGGCAGTACAGGAAGCTAAAGGATTAACACACACTTTGTTTACTTTGGTCAACATATAGAACATGAAGTATGCAAAACAGTTTCTAGTTAAGTGCTCTAGTACAGTAAGCTGAACTCTCTTATTTCTGCATATCCAGACAATATATTTGTTACGAGTTTCTCACCTGCCAGTAACGAACTGTAACAGCAATACTCTCTCTTCCTGAGTTAGTTCTTCCACAACATCCCAGAACCACTAAATAAAAATTAAGTTAGTTTTTATTTTCCATTCAATATTTGTAGTACTTGAAAAGATAATGGTAAAGCAATAAATGGAATATCTATGCATTTGTTACTTAAATGATGGAAACTTTCATATGAAAGTTACGTAATGTAGGAATATAGTTTAAAAAAACCCACAAATTTCAGCCATAATAAGCTTCCATGAAGATATACAAAAAATGACAATAGCAGCAGCACCTTTTTTTGGGTTAAAATGCAATAGTCTACACTATTCAAGAAAATAATTTTACCTGAATAACTTGGTCTCCTCTTTCATAGCCACTGGTGTATTCTGTATTTTTTAACCAATCATTCACGTCAATTTCTGGCATACCAGACAGCAAAAGCTCCTTCAGAAGAAGCACACAGATTGCCATTAGTCCTCCTGACTAACCATTAATTTCAAGTGTTTATGCTATTTTAAGAAGTAATGCTTTAAGTACTATAAAAGTTACAGTTCTTTCTCTGTTCAGTTACAACCTTACGGAACCTACAACTGTATATTAATACAGGAAGATCCTTCAATTAAGGCAACTTCACACAATCTGTTTCACTTAAGTACACAGTACCGAGAGTGAAAAATTATTGCCGAAGAACCTAAAAGATAAAAGCACTGAGTTTTGGAATGACTTGAGAAAAAACTTGAGATGTGTTGGTTACAGATCAAACCACCACAAAAAGTTCCTGGAATGTGATTCTGTGACTCAGAAAAAGTAAAGACAATAGACACATCTCCTTACTTTTACAGGACTTCTGTCCCCCCCAAAGAAAATACGAAAAGGCTTAAAGGCCACAACATCCTGATTCCATCATGAAATTATAATTTAAGGCATTTATCACTGGCACATGAAGTTATCACATTCCAAGAAGATGGTCATTCTAAGTAATTAGGATAAGCAAGAATACACATATTGAGATCTTCACTGATAAGATGTCCAGGAAGCAAAATGGAAGTGAAAGAAAATGTTTGTTTTCTGGGTACTGAGCTCTATTTCTACATCACTACATTACTGATTAAGTATGCTGGACAAAGTACTTTTTAAAAGTATAGGCATTTCTGCTTACCAGTTCATATTCATCAAAAAGCTGGATCAAAGATGGTGGAATGAACATATGGAAGCCTTGTAAAAAGGCATTTATCTGAGGCTGAATGGCTCTTGTCATTCTAAGCTCTGTGACAAGCTGGACATACTCAGCCTGCAGTGTAGAAAAAGCCATTAAGATATACAACAGCAAGAACAGATAGTGCTCATGCAAACTCACACACACAAATGCAGCCCTCAATACATATAAATCTCATCTACTGTAAGATGTTAAGCGTCCCTATGCACTTTTCACACACAGAAGCAACCCAAAATAATCCAGAAGACTCCTAAGACTTCAGAGCCCTCCTGCTCTTCCCCTTTCTTTCCTTCCCAAACAGAAGTGTTTAAATCTTACAACAAACCAGTAACAAACATTTTTTAAAAAAAAAAAAAAAAAAAAAGACACACACACAAAAAAAAACACAAAAAACCACCCACACAACAGGGAATTGGACTAAGGGAATTGGAGTAAAATAAAAGAACTGAATAACACTTAGTTTGTCATGCCTGCATTTAATACAACCAGCACTGTGATCACCTAAAGACATAAACAAGGCCATATTTGTAAATAAAAATATTCTAATATTCTATTAAGCAAGCTGGAATAACTCAGGAAAAAGGGTAAATTATTGCAGGAGTACTTGTGAGCAAAAAAGCTTTCCTGCTTTCCCCCTATCCCTCAAACTCTAACAGAATATCTGACTTATCCCTGAAGCTTTGTTGTCTTAATTTCAATGCTTTCAAGAAAGTCTTGAAAAATCTCTCCAGTTTTTGAAAAGGCAAAAAGCCAGAAATGCATTTACGCATGTGAAATTACAGTATCATAGTCCGCATGCTTTAGAAATATGGGAGCTCCATCCCCTTTAGAAGATTCCAGTTAGAAAAGGAATCCACCAGAACTTTGGTTTTGTTGAAAACTCAAGCCTAGGAGGTGGCGAATGGAGGAAGGTTTTTAGAATGAGACAGACAAAAGTGCCAACAATAAAGCTGTATAAACATGTCTCATCTACCCTGACAAAACTACGTAAGTCTTATAAAGACTCTTTACTCAAAAAAAGCGATTTTGACTTGAGAACAAAATTTATTCCCGAATAAGGTACTCAGTTTCAAAGTAATGAATCATGATTTTTAATAATGAAATCATGAAATATATCTCCAATTAAACAGTCTCAACTATCTCCTTCCTTCAAGACAACAATCTTACAAAAATACCATGATTTTTAATTTTAAAAACCATTAAACTAAGCTAAACCTGCACAAAAACAACCAAGCATTCTTTCTTTCCTCCCTTCAGAATAACAGAATGAAGCATGAAACATTTCAAAAGAGAAGAATATTTTTCAAAGGCAGATCCTTACATTCACAGTATAGAGGGGTTTTCATTTGCTTTGCAGTTGGAAGGTATTTTTAAATGCATTACCACCATTTTATTAGAGTGAGAAAATCTGTGAAATGCTCTGAAGAAAAGGAACATTACCTAATCGTATCTTCAACTGCAGAACTGTTCCCAAAAATATAGTTTCAATCCAGTCAGCTCCCTAGGTTGCTTCTACTGCCAGTGAAACTGAAGGCACTCCCCCTTCTCTGAAGAATTAGAGGGGTAGCCAAAGGAGATTAACTGCACTACACAAAAATTGGCTTCTGTGAACACATCTTAAGAGCTCCAGGAAGAAATCAGAAGCTTTTAGCATTATGAGGACTGGAACATGGTCTTAACACTGGTCTTCAATATTCTGAAATACTTGTTTTACATCTCTGAAATTGCTGTTACATAAATTACACCATTCAGAAAACAGGGTTGTAGAAAGAAAAATTCACAATCTTATTTCTAAAAAAATCTATTAGAAAAAATGACACTTATTTTCTGCATTACAAAAATATTTACTTTGAACTCTTTCATTATGAGAGAAAACAGTTGCTGTGCTTTAGGTGTAAGAAGAAATGTTTTAAGCAGCCTGGTACAGCCAAGCATCCTGACTATCAGCACTGGTGCATGCTTGCAGCCCACAGCTGCCATACCATAGAATTTGCATAATATTTGCCACTTCAAAAAAAAAAAAAAAAAAAAATTGTTTTTCTCTGTTCACTTCACTTAGATTTTATTCCCTCTCAGAAGCCTTAGGAGCACATTACAGAACAAATACCTACATAATTTCAGATCTACATATGCATTCCTAGATAGTGCATAAAAGGTACAATCCAGCCCTTCTTTTAAGAGGGGAGATTTGACTGAGCACATACTAGATGGGCATCACAAACATGATGACAAAGTCTAATTTCAGTGAGGAGTTGTTCTGTATTTCCCTTTGAGGTAGATCAAGGAAAGATTATGCTTCCCTGATTTCACAACTGTGAGACAAGGATCAATGTTCATTACTATGTTCAGATTCAGAAAGCAGCTCCATTCCAAAGCTGTTTTGGAAGAAAAAAAAAAAAAAAAAAGTAATTTTTTACTGCCAAACAGCACAGGCAGCTCAGACAGACAAGTCCTGGGAGGCTAGAGAAAGCCACAGCATTGTGGAGATATGCACCATTTTTTGAAATAGCATATGGACAAACTTGCCTAGCTCTAATTTTACTTTTTTTCTAAAACGTTAGTAGAAAGCTGCAAAAATATGTACAGCAAAGAACAAAGAGAAATGCCTACCTAGCATGGATACTGGACAACACCTGACTTTTCCCTTTGAAGTCTCTCCATTACCATGACAAAAGGCAGTTAAGCCACTACGATAACTGATACTTCACTACATGGATGCTCCAATTGCAAGACTGGAACACATGTGTTGTATAGTTGCACAACCACTCACCTATTACACAGCTGATACAAAAAAAAAAATTCCTTCATTCAAAGGAAACAACATTTTACAAACAGCTATTACTACTGCTCCTCAATGGCACATTTATTCTCTTTTATTTTGGTTTTCAGTAAGAGGGAGACGGATTGTTTGCAGTTCTGTGAGGTTTTGGTATGGGGTTTTTTTGTGGGTTTGTTAGTTTGCCTATTTTATTTTTTTTTTTTTAAAGGAATAAAGATTCACTTGAAAATTCATTTTTAAAAGTGCCTTCCTCTAAACCGGTAATCTGCAAGTATGCATACACAGCAAATTCCTTTAGAAGCTGAATTTTGTTCTCCCAGAGGTACAGCAAATACAATGAGTTTTAAACATCAATCTTTTATTCCTGAAGTAAAGGCAGGAAAAAAAAGAAAGATATCTCGTGCAGGGACAAAAGAAAGATGTTTTATAAAGTAAAGCAGACACTCTCCTGCTTAACCTGTTAGAACTGTTAAGCTCAAACATACTGCAAAACCATTTTGCATTAAAGAAATAGGGAAAAATCCTCAAACCACTAAAACACAGATCTACAATTTTCAACAACTTGGTCCACCACTGCCAAAAATCAGTGAACAAGAAAGAGACAGTGCCATCTTACACATTTGTTGACTTCACATCTTGCAGCTTCAAATTAAAAGATCAATTAATACTAAGTTTCAAAGCTACCACAACATTCATCTGTTTCTTATCACCTTTCAAATAAAAGCTACACGAAGTCTCATCCTTCCTCACAGTTGAGAAAGGCTGATGGGCTAGATCGATGCACCAGATTCAACCATCCTTTTCAGCCTGTGCCCCTAAGTCAGATGTTAACAGAGCAATTTAAGCTACTAATGAGTAGCATCCTTATGTGGGCAAACTTCTAATTTCATGCTAACTCATAGTAGCTTTTAAGTAGTTGTTATGAAACCACAGTTTTTGTCAAGTACATCTATTTTATGTACTGAGAAGCTGAGACTGCCCAGAAACAAGAATAAACATCCTTGCTTTCTCTGATAGGTAATAAAGAAGTTAATAACCCACTGCCTTCACAATTAAACTTATTTTACCATCTGTATTCTTTCATGAACGAATATATTGCGGGAAACAGTGCAAAATCAGGCTAACAATATATATTTCTGGGTTTGGAATGACACTCTGCCTTAATGAGAATAAGGATTACGCATAAAGGAACACAGTGCCAATTGCTCAAACACAAATCAAAATTTTGTTAGGACATATGCTGACACCAAGTGGCTATTTACCAATACAGCAGCTATCTTCATGACGAGTAAAACTGAATGAATTCTGTGTACATAAAACGAGTTAGGCTAGCTCAACACAAATGAAAAGCAGACATAAGGATCAAAAGAGTAAATGATAAAAAAATTGCAGATCAAGCAATGAAACTCCCGCAGTTATTCAAAACTATCTCATGGGTAACTTCAGAATTCAACTAGACTGATATCTATCCTAATTTCTACATGATTTCCGACATCTGTCTGTGTTTTACCAGATTTGTTTTTTAAATAATGCTACAGAGAATTCAGGGGCTTTCCAAGCTGTTACTATTACAGTAAATTAAAAAGGTAGATTATTTCCATACACACCAGTGACTTGCAAATGGCTGAAAAAGCTTCCTGCAGCCTTTTATTCTGTTAACTAGCTCTGTGTTACCGCAGAGCAATCCAGTGCCACAGACTGCCCTAGCAGGCAGCACACTTTACAACATTACCTACAGTTTTAATTTCAACAGTTCCTCCTGTTTTACCTTCCTGGTATACATATCCATGACTTAAATTTAGGAATATTTGTAACCTTTAAGATGAACTCTTCATTTAAAGCTGGTCCTACTTCCTTCCAAAAATTCTGTGAGAAAGAAGAACCTCAAACCTGATCACTTCTAAGAATTTTAACTAGCACTATTGGTATAACATGCTAAGCTTGGAAAAGAGGGAGAGTGTTGGCACTCTTGTGTATTTCCTTCAGAAGAGGTATACCATTTATGCTTTCAGTTATTCAGAAACTCAGTCCAGTTCCTTTTCTTATACTATCAACTTCTGAAGAGACCTGTATACTCACCTTATTTTCCTGTGTAACAAGTATACTTGCACCCCCTGGCTTCAATGGCACTTCTTCCATTGCTCCAAACACATCAGTCTCAACAGAGAAGGTCAGCTCTAAACCCAGATCACTGATATCATTATCTAAAATCCACTGCAAGTTCTTTGCATATTCTGGATCAATAGATGCTACATCCTGATAATTTACAGGTATACCTAGGAAAAAACAAAGAAAACCCCTCAAATAAGCAGGATAAAGCAAAAAGGGTTCTAACAATATGTGGTAGAAGACTGCCCTCTAGAGAGTAACCAGAATAATGCAGTAATAGGAAAAAGATTCACCATTACTAACTACAGCAGAGCTGTACTTACTACATTCTAGAAGTATTAAAGAATCAAATTTCCTCTGTATGTTTTTCTTTCCAGTGAAGCAAATGGCATACCACTTGAGCAACAATTTGCACAATTTTAGCTCACTAATGGATTGCAATAAAAGCATCTAACCATATTTAACCAATGTTAAATGAGTTTCCTAAAAAAAATCTTAAGCGTTTCCACGTACCGTATTTCTCTATAGAATAACACCTTTTCCCCCAGAAAAATATCTGGGGGAACAAGAGGGATCAGGAAACAATCTTTCTGTACTTAGAAAACCCTTTTCAGTTTTCTTTCTTTCAATCATATTTTCTACAAGACCTACTATACAGATGAAAAAAAAATATAGGAATTTTACATTTTCAAACTGAACTTTCAAGTCATTTAGAAGCATTAAGAGAAGAGTTGCTAGAAGTTTGACTTCTAGCCAAGTACAAAAACTGTCCATTTACAGCCCCTTTACAGACATGGCACCCAAATTTGAGCAAATGTGTCCAGAATAAGGTGACCCCGAGTTTGGGCACAAAAGCAAACCTCAATTACTTTAACTTTCATGACAGATACTTTAATTCTACCAAGACAGACAAATACCTGAGAAAAGAGGCAGGGGGTGAGCATGGTAGTAGGTTTAGAAAAAAGCTAGTTGCTGGGAAGTACTCTGCTTCACCATCTTATGTGCATTGTGAAGTGTCACAGGGTGCCCATTAGAAGTCTTAGCATGCTACAGACTACAGAAGCAGTACCCCAGAGAGTAATACAAAATTGAGAAGTTAGCAGCCAATGGAAACATCCGAGTGCAAAAAGTGTTACAGTATTTCCCTGGAAGAGCTGACTAGTGCTGAAATGCTGCGCACACAAGCTACAAGACATTCAAGACATTCTTTTTCTAATAAAATCAAGCAATGCTCCACTTTGAGAGGGACAGATAATTTACTAACAAATTTTCATTGTCAATTCTCAAAAATAAAAAAATCTAACAGCTGTCTAGTAGTTTCTAGAGGACTGTAAGTTTTGCCAACTAGTAAGCATATGTGCATTTGGCATACATGCATTTCAAACACGAAATGTGGAAATAATGATGTCTCTGAGGGATATAAGCAAAACATGTGGGAAAAGGAGACTGAAAAGCAGGAACTGGAGACTCCTTTAGAGAAAAAACTGAACTGGAGCATTACTACACTCGTAAACATGTTGTGAGACCAAAGTACTAAGCTCACACATTTGCTTGACAGAAATTGTCACCAATCAATAGACTCAAGCCAGGCAGTTATAAAGAAACTGTCAGATTTATTAGGACAGAATTTGAATCCCTTCAAATAATATGCAACTTTCTGTTGCTGTACCCTTAAGGCACCTGTAGTTTGAAAAGGAAGAGAAATCTATCTTAGCAGAATTGTGATAAATAGGTATTTCTATGCAACACAACTTCAAAAAGATACAGGTAAGCTCTGAGACAAGTTAAGTAAGTATTCAATGATTTAAGGCCTCCAGCTCAAAATACACTGACCCAGAAATTAATCTTCATTTTTTTCTATGCCATGCCAAGAAGTATTTTCTATTATACTGTGAAAGATGGGGCTTTAATCCAACACCAGATAGTACAGTTATGAATGTATCTGCTATGTGTCTTTGTGGGTTGGAGGTGGAAGTTTCCTTTTCCAAACAGAAAAGTAATTGGCTCCTTAAAATAATACAAAATACCCAGACAACAGCACTAGTGGAACTATCTTCTCCTTCCCTGTTTAAGCAGAAGGCAGAAAAATAGGAAGTTTGATAAAAACAAACCTAGGAAGCCTTATTAATTTCTGGCTGCATTTCTGCCTCAATTCTACATCTGTAATAGAGTGCGGCCCTAATAACCATGAAGGCCTATGGAATAATGTTTGATTATGACACGCACACACAAAATAACGCAAACCACATATCTAGCGTCTTATAAAGCACATTAGTTGTCCATTAGTTGGGTCATCACTTAGACTGGTGATCTGTCCTTACCCCTTGCCTACCAGATACTGCTGCAGAAAGATCTCAGTCCATGACAGTGAAAAAAGGTGATGCACCCACCTGAGTCTCAAGAAAGTAGTCACATTTGTTCATACACATTTTGGCTCCTAATTAAGGCACTTCCACGTCATGTCTGTTGACTAAAGAGAAGATTTCCTTTGAACGAGTTTCACACTGTTCCTCAGATACAGGGGGTCTTACCATACAACTGGTGGATTCAATGCCAGCAACAGGAAAGGCTACAGAAAACAAGGATCTCAGTGCAAGGTGAGAAACCAAACGGAATGGAAACAGTCTCAGACTTTGAAAGATTCCATATTCCATTACTTAAGGCCTGAGAAGTAGCTGAAGGGAATCTCTGTGTCTGCAACCTGGTAACTTGTATTTGGCATGAACAACAGCTACCATAACCCACAGCTGAACCCGAAACAAAAATAAAACAAAAACTCTTTAGAAGCATCTGCTGCTGTGCAACTCAGGTTCCTTAAACAAGAACAGAAGAGATGCACAAAGCTGAGAGAAAAGGCTTTAAATAAGGTTTAAATAAATAATGTTTAAATAAACCACTGTGCCTGAGGCAGGAAAAGCAACTACTCTGGGAAGCGGAGGTATAATTTTTACAGTCCTGTGTCTGATCAATAACAAGAAGCGATAAAAGCCAGTGAACCTTTTGACCTGAAAGAAGTTGAATGTGCACAAACCTCTAGAGTTCCAGGATGCCTGCTCAACAGAATGACAAGACCTTATTAAGAGGGAGTGGTGAGATCTCATTAAGAGACCACTGACTCGCTGCTGTTTAGTTTGCAGTAGTTACTCTGGGGGAGAGTGGGAAATATATGAAAAATTAAACAATAGGTTGTCAGTTCAGAAACCAACAAATCCAGTATCTAATCAGGAGTCAAATTAGAAAAGAACCCAAATTCATTAGTAGTCATTTCCAACAGAGGTGACAAGAGCAACACTTGATTATTCTCAAGGTGTCACTGAACAACAGAAAAATACATTCTTCTCATTTGTGAATACATCACATTAAGACTAGCCTGTGAGTGTCATTCTTCTGCTCGCACAGAGGCATCTCTTGATGTCAGAGGCCAACCCTTAAGTCTGTGCCAAATTGTGCCATACAAAGATATGTCTGCTTTGGAACTGCTTCCATATGTGGAGATCAATCAATAGGGAAGCCTGATGAGGCACTGCCAACATGGTACTGCTTCAGATTGGCTGCCCTCCATTGCCTCTTACCCAGTACACAGTCACTCTCCTGCAGCAGAAAGAGCTACTGAAGGAGAGAAGTAAAACACCCTTTGTCAAGAGGATCTTGACAAAGATGACTGAGCCTGCACCATCAACAACTGCAGCAGTGTTCCCTGCACACCTATAGGGAACAGAAACAGCAAATCTGAAGTTAGAAGTTGATCTGTCCTGGTCTCAGCAAACATCACCAGAAGACCATAGGTAAAGAGAATCAGTACAGAAAAATAGATTGAGAGGCAAACAATTCCTTGAAAACCTTGACAGGTCTTAAAATAAGGAGTGATTCTTGAGGAAAAGTAAAACTTCTGACATCAAGCTAAAGAAGATTAAAAGAATAGTGCTTAAACACAGGAAATTCTGCATGTAGTGGCAAAGGAATTTATGTACTTAGAGGAGTAATCGGAACGCAAAGGGAATTTATCCTTCCATCACACCTTCATTAAAGAGGAAAACTTTTTCATGAGAATGCAGAACAGGGGCACCATGTTCAACAATCAAGAAACACAAAGGTTCTCAAAGAAGAGCAGAGAAGAGCCCTATACCACAGATACTACCAGCTAATGGCAGTACTTCTCTATTAAAAAGAAAAGTTTATATTTTTATAAAGACTTCTGAATAATCCTTCTGAATGCTACAGTAAGTGTATGGATTCATCTTATCAAAGCATTACATGACTGAAGAACTGCAGACACAACAAAGATGCTTGACAGATTTTTTTGCCAGAGTTCATAAACATTATCAACTTTGTAGAGTCTGTCCTAAGTTAGCTAGGGAATGATTAAGTTTCCTTTCTCAAGAATGAAGTTACATGGCAGGACAGATTAATTCCACAACTGTGATGCAAAGAATTGCACACACCACAAAAACAATTGACTACACTAGTCTGCCTTTCAGGCATTCCTAGTCAGCAACATTAAAGACAACTAAATTATATCATTATGCTCTAGACAGATTAATGATGCCTTCCTTGGTTTTAATTTAAGATTCATATTTAAATATAAACTGTAAGATTAGCTATTTTATTAAAAGTTGCTAACTGTATAGAATTTCCTACATAGCTTTGCTAATGTATTTCTGTATTTTGCAACTGTAACAGTTGCTAACAGAGCCTCAGACTGGAATAGCAATTACTGCCATACTATGTCGTGAGTCATGTATGTAAAAGTTTAGCAAAACATTTATTTCCAAAGACTTTTTCACTTTTAAAATACACACAAAAAAGTAAAAAAGGAAAAGATTTACTGCTTAGAGGACTAATAAACAGGATTTTAATAAAACCATACCAAGAATATGCTTGTAGAATGATCTCGTGAAGTAGATGTTCACCAACTGCCTGTGATTCAGAGCTAGCCCCAGGATCTGTCCTGCAAAACGGAAGTAGTTCAAATGGTCTGGATTTACAGAAGAGTTGCTGTTGGGCTGGAAAGTTGTTCCTATAAAATAAAAATATTATCATGTTTCATCACTTTTTAAGTGAAGATCATATTTAACAAATACACTAAGCATCTGAAACCACTGAAAGTGTTTTATTTGGAGGTTTCAGAAGATTATCTGAGGTTTTTTGCTTATGCCAAAAAGATGTCAGAAAGAAATGTATCAGAATGTAATGGTATCCTATTATCACAATGATACTGCTTAGCCACTTTCCAAGGCACCACTTTGAAATAATTAACATATGGCTAATCATGATCTGCTATATTTAGTCCTCCATCTTACTATATTGCTATATGCATTTCTTGCTTACTCTAATGGGCCACAATTCATGGTTATCAACTTGTGAACATGCCCAAAGGAAGGACCAGAATGCATGTACTTCCTTTCATCTGGCTCCAGACAGATGCAGACAAGAAACAGTCCAGTCCTGGTGTCCTTATAAAAGACCACTTCAGACATCCCTAACCTTTTCCTTTTAACTTTCAGATCTATGCCTGTTCTGTTGACTGAGTTCCTTGCCACTTTCCAAGACTTTGTAAGGTAGAATGCAAAACATTTATCACTGATGATGATGTGAAATTTTTTATTGATAAAGATTAGCTTTATATGAAGCACCCATAAGACAAAAAGTCAAATACAAGGTAGACCTTTGAGATCAACATCTAGTTTTACCACAAAAACTAACCGACTGAATTCATGGATTTCTAAAAGAAAATAAAGGAATACCTCCACAGTTCCCTGTGGAAAACACTTTCTATACTGCCCTCAAAGTGTTATGTCCTTCTACTTCCAGGCAGAAATATGATGGACTCATTAAAACCAACAATTTGTTCTCCTCTTACAAGAGAGAACAAAATCAAGGAAACTTCGCATTAGGAAGAATATTTCATTTGTAGTTATAAAAACGTACAATGAATAGATCACTTCTCTGTATATATGAGAACAATTCTGACAGTGTCGCTTATAAAAAGTAACAATCCCATATTCTGAAAGAAATTAAGTGTCTTTTCTCTTGTATTATAAAAGAAAACACCATAAAATTAGGAAAAAATAAAAAGGCAAAGACATACCATCAGCTGACTGGGTAAATAAGGCATAATCTGGGTTAACTATTTCACTGGATAAGATATCAAACCACTCACGCACAACACCTTGTCCCTGCATGTCAAAAGAATAAAACATATTAGTACATAGAACTTTCACTGCACAAACAGTTACACTGGGCAACCACATATTTCTTAATAAAGTATTAAATTTATTTTAAATTAGGATTTTTCACAATACTTGTGAAACAGAAAATTTCCATATATAAATACCATAAAGTAAAATTTTACCCACCATGCCTTCTTCTCCATGAAATCTCACAGCAATCCCCTGCTTTAGTTTTGCACAATTTGCTTTAGAAACAACTTCACAGCTACTCCTAAAAATAGAATCTAAATAAAAAGCACCAATTATTTTTCTTAATTTATTATATTTCAGTGTATTTCAAAGCTATCCTAATTCCATTTGTAATACAATACCTCTGTGAACCAAAAGGATGTCATTTTCATTGACAGGCCTGTGCACCATGTCTGAATCTGGCTGCCCAGCATGCAGATGTTCATAGAACCATTCACAGCGATCTTTAAATGGCTACAAAACATGGGGTATACCACATTAGATAGATGCATTAAACCAAATAATTCCCCCTCTCATATTCTCAACTCATTTTTGAGATGTGCAGAGTCACTTGGTGCTACCTCAATATGCTATACAGTATTTTGGGAAGAGGAAAGGACTAAACATACCCTTGTGTGCTTGCTGAAGGCTAATATGCAGATAACTGGACCATCAGTTATCACTACATAGAAAAATAGCACAAAATTTCTTCCAGGGCAGGGGGAAAGGAGTCTAGATAAGAAGTCAGTCACTGGCTTCTGTAACACTACTTATTATCAATCACAGCTGAGCTCATTAGCACAAATGATATAAACAAGGGGTATTTGCAGTAAAGTTCACTGGCAATAAAAAACAGCCCAGAGACCAGAAAGATTCCAAAGCAATTCCTAGGTGAGAAGGCCTTAGCTTGTTTTCAGTATTTAGATAGACATTTTGCAGTTCTGCCAAGACAGATATGACAAAAGTATGGCCTCTCTCATTTATAACAATTCACGGTATGTATTTTTAACTGATATAACAGGGCATCAGTTCTCAGGGTCTCTTCATTATGCATAGATAATGCATTTCAAAAACATATATTTCAACCAAAAGTAAACAACACACCTAGATCATGTTCTAGAAATAAAATAGAATTACCAAAAAAAAAAAAATCAATGAACATCTAAAAATAAAGGCACAACTAAAGAAATAAATCTTTTGGAACAGACCCTCCACAGTTATCGTGGGGTGGGTGGAGAGTGTCTGGTCACAGAAATTTTACCTTTTTTTTAAGCAAATTCTCTCTTTGACCAAAAGAGTTTAATGTAAGGAACCTTTCTAATAGCGAACAAAGCAAAATTAAACCAGTGTGTGCTAAATGAAGGAGTTTCAAATAGCTCATTATTGGCTAAAGACCATCTTCATTAGTAATAGAAAAAAAAACGCAGCCCTGTCCCTAAGCTACAAATAGACAATCATACTCTTAAACGTAAGTGATGAAAACATGGCAGATGCTTAACACTAAAGTGTTATGTAAAGCAGCAGACTCCAATATGGGCAGGTGGGGGTGTGGTGTTCACTCGCTAATTTTTCTACTTAACTACACTAGTCTTAGTCCTAAAGTAATGCTTTAGTCTTGAATTCATGCCCCACGTTAAACTGAGAAGCAAGTTTAGGTTATGCATGACATTAGGATTTTACAAAATAAAAAAAAATTGGGGAAAAAAAAAATCAAAACCAAACCGAAACGAAATGGTAGGAAACAGAGCAAAGAGTAACAAGACAACATGATGTCTCACTGAAGGAGCTATCACTAATTAACTGTGGCCAAATCAACTAACAGTGGTGTATTTATCCTCTGGTTTATCTCAAGATCAAGTCAATTAAAGAAAAATCACAGCATTTTAACGCTGAATCTATTAGATGTGCATGAATAAATTTAATAATAGAAACAGTTGGACTTGTAAGACTTATTTAACATTGGTCATCTCAAATGGACTTAAACATGTACTTCAAAGAATTAGAAGTACAGAAATTTGGCTGCCATGTCTGTTTAATCTCATGTTTCAATATCCCAGATTCAGAAGCACTGGAGTGGACATTTAGTTCTTCCATCCTCCACAAATGGATTTAATTGTTATCATTATTATTAAACAAACTCTTTATATTCATAGACATTGTAACCAAGCATCTCCTGACATTTACCTGAGCTTTTATGATGTGCATAAATCTGGACATTAATTCAGGACACTCAAGAAGAAAATGGAAGTGATCAAAAATTATTTTGGGGTTTCTGAAAGAAAAAAAGGTTATAAGCCTGTTAATCAGAGATCTAATAATAATGCCTCATGATACATGAAGTCTACATAAACAGACAATGCAATTAGTCACATAGAAAAGTTCCAACAAACTCTTCTATTTCATAATGTTTTCCCAATTCAGGTTTGCAAATTACTTATACTACCTCATCCTTTGAGCATGGAGGATTACAAACAGCTCTCCAGACAGAAGCAATATTATAAACTGGCCAGTCCCAGAGAAACTCTGGAAATAGCCAAGTATGCAAAGATAGTTTAGACTCCTTTAATAAGTTAGTAAGTGTAACACATTTGAGGAATAATGGAAGTTTTCATCTGCCTCAATATGGAAGGCTTTTTTGGAAGAAAGATGAGGAAAGAATCCATTAAAGAAATTATTCTGTTGCTCTGTGAAAAAAAATTTGTTCACTCAATCTCACAATAAAATGCAGAGCAGTTTATTTAACTGAGCTCTCTGAATCACTAGTATGCACTCCCTTGAATGTGGCAGGACCACTGAAGTTCATGTGGTTCACATGTATTTTTAGGTTATTGTTGTGACAACTCATTAAGAAAAATATGAGTTTGAATTATTTTGGGAGAAAAAAGGGAAGAAATTAGGAACTCATATTTCTCGAAGCTTACCGGTTAACAAAACACTTAAGGACATCATCATGTTTACAGACAAACTCTATAAAACGAGGCGACGTCATCCTGTGCAAAAAATGCTTTAGTTAATGATACTGAAAATAATTTGAATTACATAAATTGTTGCATTCCTTTAATAAAATATTAAACATCCATTTCTATTTACACAACTAGTCAATCATAAAACTACTCAGCAGCATTAAAATTTCATAATAAGCTTATATAAAAGACAAAAATAACAATTATCAAGCAGGTCAGGCAACCTCACCACTGACTCTTGTTACCTACATGAAGAAGAAAAGCCCGAACTAATGGAGATACAATTAAACCCTTCCAGCTTTCAGCACAACAATGGAAATATATATATGGGGAGAATGATGTTATATGCACAATATACATGAAAGGCATTGTTCTGTATTCTTGTTCATTGTATGTAACTCACACCACACACCACGTAGATTGTGATAAGTGAGGCAACAGCCAGGAAGAAATAACCTTATAAACTCAAACTTAATAATGGGGGGCAAGGTGGTATTTAATGGCTTCATGAAACAACAAAATTACTTGCCAGGCAAGCATCTCATACACTAATATGCAATTCTATTTTTTCCTCCTATTTATATCTGGAGAACAACGTAAGGATTACCACAGGTGCAAATTTTACTCCTTTTATTTACAACTCTCTCCTGTATTTTTTGAAACAGAAAAATTCTTAAGTGGATCCTTTAGCTTCAGCAAGAGCTAATGAATACTTGCAAACAAGAATAAACCCCTCTCATCAAGTGCCTTGAAAGGTTGTGAAAAATAGCACTTTGAAAAGTCCAGGATAACAACAACAACAACAAAAAAATATCAACTCAGCATAAACTTATCAGTTTTGATGCTGAAAACTTGGAACACTGTACTTCAGTACATTAACAAAAGAATGCCTAGATTCAGTACTAGCATTTGCAGAAGAAAAGCAATCATGTCAAGTAAAAGAAAATAACCTCAATATTTCAAATGTTAACCAGCATGAAATGCCGTCTTTATTGTATGAATATTAGGAACAATGGAAAATGGTGCACTGTTTACTCTCCTCCATTAAACAAAGACACACAAATCTAAAATTAAAGCCATTTTAAATTATTTTCCCTGAAAGTGTCATTTGTTATAATTTCAAATATTATTTGAAGATGGCAGCAGTACTGAATTACACCACTGTGCCATTTACTTCTATTAATATGAAAGCGTCAGTAAAACAGAGTCTCAGATCTTTGTTCTTCTGTACACAGTTCTGAAAAGTCCTAAACCAATACAGAATTCAAGTGTGTTCTGCCTTACTTTCCCGTATCCAAGGGAGTTCTCCCTGTTGTCGCTGAAACAGTTCTTACTCTCCTGGCTCCCAATTCTTAAGTTAAACTTATACAGTATCCAGAGGAGTTCTCCCTAACTTGAAGCACAAACAATGCACAGGGGCATACCCATTTGGCAGGACACATCAGCAAGTCACCTGGACACAGGGAGACAGTTACCTCCTCAACTGAATTTTGCGATAAAGAAATAAATTGGGGGAAAATGTACTTAATCACTATTATAAACATTCCTACTTTTGATTTGGCTGCTATAAGTAATATTATACTGACATTTTATCTTAGTAAAGTTGGATGGGAGATTTCAAGGGAAATTACTAAACAGCAGTTCTGTTTCAAGCTGGAAAAAACCTAAAGGTGAAAATACTGAGGTACTTGTGGAACATGCTGATCCCCAGATTGTCTTCCACAGTGTCCACAGAGGAGTGTGCCCCACACAGTGCTGGCTGACTTAAAAGCTTTTATTCCACTCAGTTTGGCAGAGAAAGAAAAACCCTTACGGAGGCTGGCAATAAACAGGAGTTGTCATGTAGTGGGAAGCTTGCTTCTAGATTCCTCAGGGAGCTTGTAAAATCACCATACATGCCTAACCTTCCACTCAGGAGGGTCAAAGGATCCTTTCCTTGCAAGTTCATAAATACAATCCATAACAATCTCAAAGACCTCAGTTATAGTGGACACACTTTCTTCCTTTTTAAACCAGGCACTTAGAGCATCAAATTTACCTAAGTTGTAGTGCCTGTTCCACATGAAACTGTTTGCCAAGTGAGCATTTCTTTAAGATTGTACTCTCCTTATTATAAGCTTCCGCAATATAGCCAAACAACTTTTGCCCCAGCTGTCATTTTCATACACAAAGATAACTCATATTTTAATCTGAGCTTATAGTTATTCTTGTTGGATAGTCACATGAAATTCAGGGATAATTTTGCATTAAGAACCAAAAGCAACAACAGCTAAATTTCAAGACATCAAAACTACCTTACTTGCAAGCATCCCACATGATTACAAAGAGCCATTAGACATTCAATACAAAATCTGCCCCAGTGCAGCTACGTTCAGAGGCAGCAGTACTACAGAAATTCTGCTGTGCTGTTTGGTACCATTAAAGACAGAGAGAAGAAAACAAAAAAAATAAATAAATAAAATGAAGAAAGCATTCAATAGTGATTATCCCTGAGTGCCACTAGTATTATCTGGTCAGCACCGAAATTCTTCCAAGAAAGCACATAACAGTTGCAGTAACTAACAGGATCCTCTCCTTACCCCTGAGGCATCTGACAAGAGCAGCACATATAAAAGGCTTGAATGACAGCACTTAGCCTGTTTGCTGTCATAGAGATAACATCCTGGCAATCAGCACAAGCTTCCTGCTTCCCAGCAACATCATATGTTTTCAACTCGCCAGCATCAGTGGATAGCTCTTTTGTGCCCTCAGTTTCTGCAGCGGCAAAGGAAGGCGTAGGAGTAGCATCCTGGTGATCTGGTCCTTTTTGCTTCAGTAAAATAGAAGTAATGTTGGCAGAGTCTCTTTTGTTTTTCATCAGCTCTGTGGCTATAAGAACAAGCCATTCATCTAGAGAATGCCAGAGCAGTTCCAGCGGCTGCAATAAACATGCAAAAACAGACAAAAAAGGAACATGTTGACATTAGATAACACTAATGATGTGATAATCCTCTTAAGACACATAAATATCACACACATTTAAAAGCTTTAAATGATCCTTTAAAAGTCATGCTAGAGATAGATAAAAAAAAAAAAATCCATACTTGTAGCCATAGAGCACAGAGAACAAATGTCATATACAAGGAAAATAATCAAGCAGCAGATAGGATAAAGATAAAATAATTTAGAAAGAGTGAAACACTGAACTATTTCAGAGTTTGGCCTCTTGGTGGTTACACAGCACACCACTGCCAGACTGCTGCAGTCAAGAGAAAAACAGTAACACAAACTGAGTTTCTTTGTAAGGCCCCGGCCAACCAACCTCCCTCTACCAGGTAGATGAAGCAAACCCCAGACAATACCACTGAGATTCAGACTCATGCACACCTGTGCTTTATACATAGTGTGAGCTCATACAGCCCATTTTGGTATTACCCCAGACATCTCAGAGTAAGGGTCACTAATACCTAGTTTTACAAAACAGAAACAAGTATCAGCAGAATTACATATCAATTTTTAAAGCCATATATTTTATCTTAAAGTAATTCACTACCACCAACTTAAAACTGATACAATTGAAATCTAGTGCAATTCCATCATTACGCATTACGTTTGCTCTGAGGTGCAGGCCTACCACAGAGGAGAGAAAGGGCTGAGAACTGCAGCACACTCATCAGCATTTTAAGAAAAATACAAGGGCTGACTGTGCTGTCCCTTAATGGTGTTAAGGCTTGTTTCACAAGCATAGCATAGTGAGCACAGAGATATGTATCCTACAGGGAAGCAATTCTGACTCAAGTCTTTCACAGCATTCCAGAAGTAAAAGTAAACTTCTAAATGCACTCCTTTTTCTATGTATTACTGTGGCATCAATATTTTTCACCAATTAAAACATTCAAAGACTTAGTAGATACTGAAAAGTATCTTGTCATATTCTAAAGTTACCTTTAAAAGTTAAGATTTACAGCACAATGTACCAGAAGCCTACATTATCTGGAGCACTCTCAGTACACCTCTTACTGACACACTCAATACACAGTAAAATACTTCTCATGAAAGGTGTGTATTGAAATTATCTGTTCAAATTTACCATTTAAAAAAAATTACCACTCTGCTTCCATTTTTTTCCCCAACAGGAACTTTGAGGAAAGCCAGCCTGATCTCTAAGACTGGTAGGCTTTGCTCAAGATGCTGTATGACACTCACTTAATCCCTGTACTCCTAGTGACCATGCATTTCTTTAGATGGTGACCTGAATACCTCGAGTGTAGGCATCATAATGTAGAAAAATTTTCTAATGGAAAATAGGATTCATCGAATATATGAGAAAAAAATGCAGCTGTGTTCTTAACACATGAGCAACTAGGTAGTTACCTACTAGAACACTAAAATCTAGTTTACTTCTCCCAGACTTTTCAATGCTTAGCCTGCTGGACACAATTTTTCTGCTCATATCTTGTGTCTTATTTTTATTTCCCACAGACTTGGAACACCTTCCAGAACTCCTGCAGCTGCCTTGTTTTTCCAAAGCTAGTTTTTTCACAGATTCTGATCACAAATTCATTCAAAGGTATAGTCAAGCACAGTGACTTCAACTTGTTACTTTTTTTTTCCTAGTCTAACCTCAGGATATAAAGCACACCTGTAAATATTGCCCACCACCTCCATATCCATGACTGTCAACATTTTTTGTTAGCATGCATAATCAGACCTTTTCAAACATAATGTGGACATTGTCAATCAAACCATTAGCAACATGGTTTTAATACTACAAGTCAGCATTCTTCAGCCACTTCCTACCATGAACCACATAATAATCATAAACCTCCACTCAACCTTCAGTTTTCATATCTCACATTTCAGAAAAGTTTTTTTGTAATTACACACCTGAGTCTGGGTACCAAGCTTTTACAACAGCACACCTAATCTCCCAAATGCAAGGATTTAGTTATGCAACACCTTCCTCTTTACCCACCTAGAAAGCAAGACACTAGAAATCAAACCCATATTCAAACTATGACACTGGAGCAAAACCTTTTGCCAGGTGACACAGTTTGTCTTTTAAGACACAGGGAGCAGGAGATCACCAATCCTTGAGGTGAGTGTGTCACAGCAGAGAATTCAATTCTATTTTAGAAAAAAACAGTATCTGAAACGAGGGAAATATATTAGAGGCTTCCCAACTTTGTTCAATTAGACAGGTAGATCTTGCAACAAGTTTCTCTAATACGTGATCATACCGCACAGCAACTGGAAGAGCAACACATGAAAAAGTAATGAACATAAAGTTGGTCAAAATTACTATTCATGAACTTGCTCACTAGTAAGATCTTGTCCAAGTTAGCAGTGGCTTGTTTGAAGATTGAGTGTTCAAATTCAATGACGATTTTGCTTCTTGCAAGATCAGTACAAAAGTGTGTCTTAGTGTTTCCACATTAAAACATTTGGATAGACGTGAACTGACCAGGCCTGTAATGAATTACATACAGGGAACTACAATAAAACAAAGATGGCTCCGTGATTATTTTGTCCTTGTCAAGCACTAACATTTCTCAGTAGCCTCAGATCAAGATATACTCACATTTCTAACCCCTTTCAAGCTAGATTACAGTGACAACTCTTCAAAATATATTATATCAGTATAATACAGAAAGCCTTAACACAGCATTAGGAAAAAAGTCAGAAGAAAGTTTTTCTTCAGTTCTTACACTGGATAAAATATGTTTTTGTATCAGCATTTTAAAAAGAGTTATGAAGTACATCTTAAAGGTTACTAGGTACAGATCTATTTGGACCTAACAGGAGTGGAATCAGAACGAAAGGAAACAATCCCTTAAACTGTGCAATAAGGCCTGATAATGTCTGTCCACATATTCCACAAGGCTACCTATCACAAGACATAACTCCTGCCACTGCTGCCCTCAATCCTCCCCAGATAGAAGTTTCTAAGTCCATTCTTGAAAGAAGACAGTATTGACAATGGATTAGCTTCCCATATAGTAAAGAAAAAAATATATCTAGAGGTCTTCACTTGCTCAAATAAACAGCATTTAGAGAAGTGGGTGGTGACCTGTGTCGCTTTCTTGTGCTCTACAAAATACTCAAATCCTTACACGGGACATGACCCAGCAGACTAAGAGACTTTTTCTCCATAAAACCTGTATCAAAATTCAAATTATCTACAATATTTATCCTCACAACTGAATTTTAAGATCAGCAGCGAATTCCAATTTAAAGCTAATTTTCTCTAGAATTTTTAATTTGGATCTCAAATGTAAAATCTTGAAGTTCCACATTGATTTTTTTAATACAGATTTAATTCCTATTTTGCAGCAGCAACCTTCGTGGTTTCCTTAATAGACTGTACCAAACAGTTACACAGCCTATATTCAAGAAAATTCAAATAAAACAACAGAAAAGGAGTTCTTTATCTCTGACCTGCATGTCCCACATGCAAGTACTGGTACAAATAAAGACACAACTGGCAGGTCTTCAAGGAGCCTCCATACCATTGTAATCATCTAGAGATATAGTGGGCTATTTTCCCTCCTCCCAAAAGGGATCATCATAACCATGTTTTCAAGGAAAGGATTAAAAAAAAAAAAAAAAAAGTAAAGGGAAGGTAGGAATAAGAGAACAGAAAGTCAGCCAATTGATTCAGCACTATGTCTAATCTCTCACTACCTAGTTAATATAAAGTCAGGGAAGAACAGGCTAATTCATCTACAACTGAACATCAATTTAGTGCTGCTAGACCTGTGCACCCTATTGCCAAAAAAGAGTAAGTTCTCGTAAGCAGTGTTGTATTTTTGAGTTTGAAATTTACGTCAACCTTAAAATACCACGGAGACAACAGTGGCCCTAATGAAGGGCTACCTCAGTTTTAATACCTTTTAAATAAATAAACATAATAGCAATAATAATTTTAATATCATCCTGAAATTTTGGTTTGCTACCTAATGCAAGAGTAGCACATATTTTGCTCATTTATTAAAAAAAATGTAAGTGTTGGGTTTACATAATTATGATATTTTCTGGGACAAGTGTGCCAGTTGTGTAATATAAGCCTACTGCACAAGACTTAACTCTATATACTAAATTACTTTCAGCATACAAAGAGTCTGGGCACACAGATAAGTGATCCTGCTGAAATACAATTTCCTTTGCAAATTGCAGCTGAATGTTTTTGTTTGTTTATTGTGAGTTCTGAAATTATCTGGAGTTGAAAAGCATGTTTAGTTTATTTGTTTGCTCGTTTTGGAGATGAGGTCAGTTACTCCTAAAACCTTGAAGAAAAAAAGGTAACACTATCTCACTGCAGATAGTTCCTGTATTAAACACATTTAACACCTGCTTCTTGTTATATTTAAATGAATTTTCATTAAAACTGTTAGAAATTGCTGTATTTCATACAATTAGTCTTGTGATTTAGGTAAGGCTTTGTTTTTTGAAAACAGAAATCTGGTTAAACTTGCAATGTGCCAGTCTAGCTCCATGTATTTTAGTGAACAACTGTAAAGAACAATTATTACATTGCACACTGTACAGTGCATTACATTTTGCACACAGTATTTTTCATACTTGAACAGTAGTTTTATATTCATTATCTAAATCAATTCATTATTAAAATTATTTTGCTATCAGAAAAACAGTTATGCTTGGTTTTTTAAAATAGACTAATGCTTTCCCTCTTTCCAACAGAAGAAATTTAAACAAAAACTGAGCTTCTTAACTAAATACGGCTGGAATTAAGAGTACCATTTTTCATAACCTTATTGATATACCTCTGTCTTAAAAGTATTTAGAGTTAACCTGATCAACACGTATCATCAAATAAATGCAGTAATGTCAAAACATATTTTCATGACACTCTGGAAGAAATGTGAAGTTAAGGAAAATTCCTGCATAATCATTGGTGTCTAAATTTAGCAATATGAACTGTGCCACGTAAGAGTTAGGAGGAAGATAGGAGAAAATAAGAGACTATCCTTCAGTTATTATTATTTAGGTGCTCTGAACTGTACATCAGTTGTATACCCAAAGTATGTTGAGTGGCATAAAGGAAACCAGGACTTCTTTACAGAAAAGGTAAGCTGCAATTTTATACAGAGGGATTCCTCAACAAGTATTAAAAAACCTCAAAAAAAAAAAAAAAATACAAAAATCAGAAATTAAAGTTCTAAGTGTCAAGCACCTAAAGCAGGTGTTTGAAAACAGCCAGAAATCAATAACCTCATGAGAGTAGTAGTAAGCTGGTATGTTTTAAAGGATGTAATAATACGATTCAAGAAAAACTCGGGAAAAAAAAACTTCATGGTTACAGAGAAAACAATGAACAGATTAAGAATTCAATTATTTCCATTTATCTTGTGAAGCTGGATAAAACTGAGTGTTCAGAATTCCCAGTGAATCTCCAAATAGCACTTTGAAATTACATTAATACAACCTATTAAATTAATATTACTACATTTAGAGATTACTACACTCTTAAACAAAATAACAGAAATAAAACCAAAGTTTACCAAAATCAGTTGAGTAACTAAGCCTTCAACATCTGCTAAACAATATATTAAATAAGAATAAAAAGAAGTCATGAGATGTGTATCAGTGGTTAAATGAATCCAGAGGGGATAAAAAAAATGAGAAGGAAAGAGGTAGGCTTAACTTAAGAAGGGATAGGGACATCAACCAAACTTACTTCCTGTTCATGAGATGTCTGATTAATGAATGCATGCTTTGTGAAATTCATCTCTTTAACGTCTATCTTCCTAACAACATCATATACTTTTCTGACCTTGAACACCTGACTTCTTGGAGTTTTATTTCCATTGTAGCCCATGTCATTTCCATTACTGGGAGAGGATGGGCCAATGCGAAAGACATGGCAAAATATCCTCACGATCCTTAAGAGACTCTTCATTTGAGCTTCATAATTACTTGACAAGCTGGGGGAAAAAATGGAATATTTAAGGTTTTTTTCCTTGATGAAACAGTTTAATATATTAAGGAGTAAGTAATCTAATGGTAGGGTCTGACATATATGCTGAAAAAAAAAACCCTAAGCTCTAAACCCTAGTGAATTTTAATTTCCTGCACCAGCCCCAAAAGTCAAATATAAGCACTATAGTTTTACTAACATATACTCAAAATTTCAACTAGAAGTGAAATTAGAACAGCAAATTCCAGATCTTGCAAAACAGTTATTTCAGTTTCATGTACATGTACACTCCTTATGAACTGTTGGTAAGAAATTCAACTTAGTGCAGTAAGGATTTCAACATGTGAAACAAATTGGGATATCCAGATGAAAATGTTTCTCAATCCAGAAAAGACAGCACCCAGTAGCATACTGACTATCAGATAAGCTGCCACAGCCCATCCTCACCATTCTTCTAAATGCTCATTAAATACCTCAGTCAGACAAGGAATCAGGATGGTAATGATGCCGCTATTTCTACTTAGGAGAAACATCATCTAAAAAATACTACACAACAGTACCACTATGTTATTTATTTATCCAATAAATATAGTAAAAGTTTTATGTCAACTGAACTGGCCAACACTGAACTGTGTACCAATACAGTGTACAATACGAGATACTCATGACTTTATGCACAAGCAGAACATTCTCCACCAAATACAACTTTGTTTTCTTTCCTGAAACCCCAAGTAGTAAGAATTATTTTTCCACTGAACTCTACTCACTTACAAATTTTACATAATAGAGTACATATTCAATTCTGTCCTTATAGTACTTGCAACTCAAATGCACATTTTCTAACTGTAAGATCAGTACAGACCAGAAAACTGACATCTTACAGCATGCTGTAAACCTCTGATGCAAATAAAGATGTTAATTCACGAATCTGAAACAGCTAGTTGTAACAGTACCTTTATCATGATGTCACTCTCCCTATGGCATGGATGAAAGCAAACGACCTATTCATTTTCAGCACTACATTTGAATGACTGCCTGAGATGTATTAATTTCAAAAATCCACATACTAAGAATTTTACCAAACTGATATACAAAGTACAACTTTCTTGTCACAATCTAGACTTTAACCAGAGAACTTTTCAGTAAATAGAGATAAGAAAGGAACACAAAGATATACTGTTGTTTTTAACCAGGTAAAGAAAATCCTCTGACTAGCAGGGTGTAATTACGTTACCAGAAGCTCTAATCCACAGCCACAAATTAGCACTGGTATATTATCAAAGATTTGGGGGGGGGGGGAAGGAAAAAAAAAAATCTATGAATACAAGAAGCTCACTTAAGTATTTAAAAAACAAACAAACAAACAAACAAACAAAAAACATTGACTGAAGTTTATCATCCCTCAACAGCAGTGTTTTCCTGGTAAAGTTTCAGGTTTAAATCTGCAGGAAGAGGACCCAATTATGTAAAAATACCTTAAAGCACTTTTAATAGTTTACTGAAGTTTTTACTAGCATGTTTGTAAACATTCAGCTAGGCCCAGTCTGCACCAGCAAGAACAAATCATGTGACACTATGATTATCCCCTGAAAAGAGGAAATAAGCAATGGAGGTAATGCCAACTGAACAGGCTCCTTGCTGGTACTCAAAGCAGAAGTCCTCAGGCAGAAGCTCTGTGGCACTCTTGGCTACCTGATAGAGGTGTTACAAAAAACAACTTTAGACACTTCCGAACTAAACAAACAAACCCAGCAACAATGGGCTGTGGTTGGGTTAGTACCCAGGAAAATAACAATGATGATACCAAGTTCAGCCATGCAAGAGTACCATTATTGGAGATTTTCCCATACAGAGTGCATTTTACATACTACCTGTTGGAAGGAGGAAAGAGGCCCAAGCTTAGAGGGTCTATATTCACCAACTACTAGCTTCATCCTCATTATGTTAATAACAAAGCAACTGAGAATGCCTAGTTGAAGTAGAGACTGAAGATTCTGACAGGGGACAGCACTCGAGAGAACAGTTTTTGTGAAACTGTGTTTTGTAATAGAAAAAGAAAACAATTCCATTTCCCTTATGACATATTATAAAGTACCCAAGAGAACTGGGGCAATAAGAATCCACAGGACACCCTAAGTACAGGCATCTGGAAATGCATGCTCATCAATGCAAGGCAAAGCTTCCAACTTGCCCTTAGTCTCCACTACAACCCATATGCCACAGTACAGAGGTACATACTGGCCCAAATTCAGAGACAGTACAGGCACATAGATACTATTTCTACAGCCATACTGAGGGAGCATTGTTCAGTGCAGAGGAGTAATAACAGTAATGAATCAAACTTAAACACAAAGTCAGTCTATCACTGAAGATAATGAAACTGAAACTAATATTGCCTCATATGATCTAATCCAGCTACCCTGATTTCTGATAATGTCACCATACAAAGCAAGTTCCAAACCCTTTCCTGTAGAATGGTTTTACACTTTATCACAGCTTATTTGTGAGAGATCTACTGCCTCTAATGAAGTCTGGAGACAAAAGGAGTGTGTTACAAGTTAGGCTGATTACACATTAAAGCCCAACAACAGCTAAAGTTCTTCAAAAAGTTACCTATGCAGTAATAGACTTGTCATTAATATGTCTATGCATTAAATACCAGTCGTTTGAGGGGTTTAAGTTTCTCATGCTCATTCACTGAGGCAAACACTCATCAGAACAAGACTGTGATTAATGGTGTCATGAATTTCCTAGCATTGCCTAGGAGTTCTGACCTGTTACCTACAAGTTCCATCCAAATTTAACATGACTGATGGCAAAGTAAAAAAAGGCACCTATAACTAAGAATATATTATTTAGTCTCCATCTAACTGATGGGCTCCTCACACCTCAGCCCCAGTTGAAAAGAAGCATTCAAAGTCTTACTGTTCTACAACCTATGCTGACAGACCTCTCTGGTTACAGAACACTCTCAAACCTCTCTTTTCCAAAAAGCCATCTAGAACATGTTAGTAAGGAACTTCCACTCATGCTTTCAGGCTCTTTACCTCTTTCAGCAAAGATTTTCTTGGCTTTTAGTAAAGCATAGAGGTTACAGCAGATTCAGCTAGCTTTAGAAAACAGTAAAATCTTACTGGTGTTCCAACAGATTACATAAGTCCCTCAAACAGATGCCATAAAAATGAGGAAAGCATATTAGGAAAATATGCTTGCTTGTTTTATGTGTTTCCGCAGGTAACTGCTGCTTGCGTTGCTGAGACAGCACAGTAGTACATAAATTTTTGTCTCATATATATTAGTAGTCATGGAAGGCAATCAGAACCAGCAAGACTCTCCTCAAACATAGTAAGAAAGCATGCAGAAAAGTAAAGATATGGAAGAGAAGAAAAAAGGAGGGGGGGAAATGATTGGTAGTTGGCTAAAAAGCTTCCCTTCCCAGAGCTGATACAGCCAAACTAAACAAAAAAATGCACTTCTCTGCAACTCAAGCTTCTTGGCCAGCAGTCATTCAAGGGCACCAACCTTCTCTCCTCAAGACAATGATCTGAACCGACACTGTCATGAAGAATCAGATTTGAGTTCCACCTCCTCCAACATGTGCCAGGTATGAGATAGTTTAGATTATTAAAACTACAAAGTGGCACTAACAACCAGGTAGCTTATCAATTTACTTATGATCCTCTCACACTTACCTAAGCAGTTTGTGACCATTAGTTGTAGCAACTTCAGCAAGACTTGTTAGGATTTTAAGATACTGGCTTTCACTTTGCTGAGACAAGTGTTCCAGAACTTGCCGCAACTGATACATTAGAACAAAAGAAAATGTATGTTGTCATGGAGCATCAGATCAACATTTAATTTAGAACATTATCACCCAAGCATTAAGAGTTAGCAATATTATTGTACATCTGTATTGTCCAACATCTAATCTAACCTCAGTTAACATTTCATTATAATTTACAAAGATTACTGAAGAAGTCTACCTTCTAGTATGAAGGTATCGTACTATAGGATATACAGGACTATAACTGAATGCTTAACCACATATTATTAAGAACAACTTATTTTCATCTGAAAAATTAGTGGGCTACACTTTCAACTTCTTAAAGCCAAGAGCATATATTTTAGGTTTATAATTCATCATTTACCTGTCTCCCCAGTTCTCTCCTCGGTTAGTTTACAACAATGTAAATGAACCTTGGATCCTACAGTCTGCTCTCACTACCTTCATTGTTGCTCAAGATACTGAATGTCCTTCCTTACATAAGAAATCTTACCCTGATAATCAATAATTGTTATGATGACTCTCTTCTCAAAATCATCCCTTTTCTTGCTAATACCATCACTTGGCTCACAAAGACTAGATGTTGGAATTGCCCAGACATTACCCTGTCTTCAACTCCCCTTTGTTCTACACTTATCTCCAGCCTAGACTTTCTCTGCAGGTAAACCAACCCTTCAGCAGCACCAGTCTTCATGCATTCCTATTGTATCCTCATTTACTTCCTTCTCACTCGCTTTCAGAAAGTTCAGTAATCCTTCTCAACTTCTCCTGTAGTAAGGTGGAATGAAAAAGCATCTCATAAAGGTCATTTATGCCAACGCTCTGCCTCAAGGCAGAAGCACTTGTAGCTGCAATCCAAACTGGTCTGCTCAATCTGCCTGCCTGGTTTTCAGATGTCTTCTACTCTGGAATCTCTGCAGCTTCACTAACTGATTTTTTCCAATACTTCACTTCCTTAACTGTGTGAGAGTTTTCCCCCAAGGTTCAGGTGAATCTCCAGTTATAAATGGCTGAGGCAGTATCTTTCTCCCTGCAGTTTGTCAGTAATTTTTCTAGTTTGTCAAGAACATTTAAGTTCATGTGAGTCCTGACTTCTAACATGCAACCAGTCTCTTCATGTCATCGCTTTCAGAGAATATAAACTAGTCATTACCCAAGACTTTGGGCAGAACAGCTCAGACTTGGCCATAGAAAACCATACTTAAAATATGTTTCCATTTTGGCAATGAAGCATAACTATGCCACGTATTATCTAATATAGTATGCATAACCTCTCATTCATCTTTTTGCACACGCCTCCTCCATTACTCAGACAGGCATTAATTTTTCTCATCTACTGTCTTCACTTACACAATATACAATAATATGCTTTGCCATTTCCCTTCCTGTAGAAAGTCTTTTTTGTTCCATAGTTTTAGTTAACTTTATTTGAAATCACCTACACCATTTCCCGTGCTTCTAACATACACTTTGAGAATTCTCACCTCTCTGACATTTTACTTTGTAAAACTCAGACCTGTCTCAGAAATTTCAAAACTGTTTCTATATAGACTTATAAATGCTCAGTTTTGCAGTGGAAGTAATGGGATTACAGAAAACAATAAAAACTTCAAAAATCTAGCAAACGAAGTTCACTGAAGTGGCAGCCAGTACCTTACTAAATTTTCTTTTCTTTCTTTTTTAATTTACAGTCTGTGAAATTGTTTCCAGTTATTTTCAAGCAAACAACGTACTAAAAACCCACACCTATCTAGATTTGGAAGGGGAAAAAAAAAGCATCCCATGCTTCCTTCCTCCTATGCGAATCAAGAAACAAAAAAAAAATCTTTTCTTTGCTTTTCCTTTGCTTTAGATTGCACTACCATGCAATAATAAAAGAAACAAGGTATAGAAGCACCACATTAAAAGGAACAGGATAGTTTCGTCTACAGCGATAATAACCAAATGAAATTGCGGCTGCAATTTTTCACACTGTAATTGCACAAAGCAACTTCATACAGATGAGTGCTCGTACTCCAAATGTTCCTGCTCATTCTACATGATTTAAGCCTTGAGACATATCCTAGAATGGATGTCTCCAGATAACCACTAAATGAAGGAAAATAGGCCCTATTACACAAAGTAATTGTATATACAGAATTGTCTACCAGCACCTTCATACAAACAAGACATAGGGCGCTTGCAGCAAATCTGCTTTTTCATTTCTTACACTGTCTACATTACTTCGCCAAAATACAAAGTTAGAACACCAAATTAAAATAGATTCTACATTTAACCCCAAATTCTTGTGTTTAAAACTATGTGAAGACTGTGTATTTTCCATGGGAGGAAAGAAAACCACATTGTGATCAACTACTGTGGCACTGACTGGTCAACTTCTGGTAGTGTATTCTAATCAGGACACTCATATTAAATCATCAGATCTCCACCACACAGATTGGTAACTGTGAAACACATAATACTGTATTACCATGTTTTCCCGTAGATCTTCATTCTGTGTCATTTGAATTATTGTCTGGAAAAGTCGAGGATGGTATTGTATTAAGACTTCACAAGTCTCTCCATAACCACCCTAAAACGCAACAAAAATGCATTTTAATTAAAAGAAACATTAGACTTGAGGCTTATACTATTATAGGCATTAAAACTTACTGAGAATTACCTTCTTTTTTTTCCTTAATACTGAATGGAGTAATCCAATCCTAACATAAATAAACTGAAATTCAGTAATGTCTCAAAATGAGATATAACAAAACTTTTGAGAGAATGCAGGATCGATTTTTTTCAGTATATCAGCTCATATATATCTGCTCCCTTTCCTCTGTTTGTTTTAGGCTGGGGTTTTGGGGTTTTTTTTAAACACTTTCCCACTCAGAAAGCCAAAGTTACATTTGAAAAACGCTTCACCTACCAATTTACCAGTGCTTAAAAACAGTGCAGTATTTAGCTTCTCTTCCCACTGCTGATGGATGACACACGTCTACCTAATTACACAGAATGTAATCCTTCAGAACAAATATTTTCTAAAGGTCTGTAAGGCACAAATCTGACTTGGTAAAGGAAGAAATAGGATAAATTCATGAAAGGATTATTTAACTTTAAAATCAATATATGAGTATGATTCCACTTGCGCCTCAGATCAACAGCTCAGATTTAACTTCATAAGCTTTTGAGAAAAATTACTTTTAGAAATAACAGGACTTGAATTTGTGTTTTATTCGTATTAACTTTTATTTAACACACCTGCAATTTTAAGCAGGCACCTACCACCTGAAAACACAACAAATTCTACACTGAAAAGATGACCTTGTAATGGATTAAATGCAGCAAATCCAGAGGTTCCTTCTTTTTGCATGACAGTTTATAGCTCACTACAGTGGTAACAGATTCATTAAATAAATTCATTTAATTGTTCCTGGTACCAAAAAATTAGGTATTAAAACTGAAATCACTCAAAAGCCACAAGAATTAACAAAAGTCAGTTTTTCAAAATCAAAGTAATACCAAAGTAAATGCCATGTTAGCAAGAAGTATATGAGCCTATAATTTCAGTCTTCTAGAAAGATGTATCTACACCAAAAAGCAAACTGGTAAGCAAAGGAGGCGGGGGGGAATAAAGAAGAGGTAAAAGGAAAGAAAATATTTTGCTTGCTCACACAGGATGATCATCATTATAAAACAGCAAACACCAGGTGTCACTACTCACACCTAAAAATGTTGACAGAATTTTGATGCATAAAGCCATGCCCTAGGGACTGTAAAACTGCAGATTGAAGCAGACATTTCGAAACATTAATCATAAAAAACAAGGATTCCCAAACTTTCTAGTCAACTGGAGTTCTGCAAACTCTTAATTTCTCACAAGCTCCTTCCTATCTTGCAAAGTCTTTAAAGACGTTAAAAACTTTTGCAAAGGGTACAAATTGGGAACCTGCCTGTAGGAACTCTTTAATTGCAAAAAGTTATTTTTTCATTTCTCTTTCACCAATGGACTACCATATTTCATAGGCCTTAAAAATAAAAAAAGATAACTCTGATTGAGTAACACTGTAGTAAGTGACAGAAGTTCACAGAAAGAGTGCTGCTAACTTAATACCTGTACACAGAGATCCAGTGGAGTAACACCATTTTTGTCTGGTAAATATTTGGCTCCTCTCATTAAAAGAATTTGTGCAGTGTCTCTCTGACCATGGCTGTTCAAAAGAAGAGAAGAAAGAGTTAACACAGCACTTATGCTCTACTATAAGTGATAATCAGAGTACTGCATCTCAAACAAAGCCATGTAAGCCAGGAGAAAACGCACTTACGGTATGAAACTAAGCAGAAACACAGGATGGAAGATAACACCACTTACATTTTTCTACCACTTTTCAAGGCCACTGCAGAAGCACAGTGCAAAATTAGGGGTTTCAGAGTCAGACTTTGAGCCTCAATATCCTTTCTCCAGCCATCATCATCCACTGCTACCACATCCTGCTCTCCCTGTCATCAGGGACCTATAACCTTTCTTCCAAGGTGGCAGCACCACCAGTTGGCACCTCTGACTAGGGAGACACTGACCTCTGCTATGCATCCTGTTCATTCTACCCTGCCAACTGCTCTAACTGTTGATTTGTAAAAGAACATCACTACTGTACTTGCAACACATTCTCTTCTCATGAAAAACCTCCAACCCAAGGCAAGTTGCTTAATTCTTTTAAAATAGATTCCACTGCCTGACCCTAAATCAAGCACCCAGGCATTCAATTAGCTAGCAGCTATTTATTTGTCACTTCTTCTCAACTGCCAAAAGTCAGAATAGACTAGCTCCAGAGACCAAGGCTCCCACAACGTAACTCTTGGCAGGCCACCAGGTCAGTCCATTTCTCCTTTTGTTTATAGTAACATTTAATCATAGGTGAACTATTTAAACTGTAACCAAAGCACAGGGATTATAAAATTGTAAATGTTCTACCAAATAGCAGAAATGCTCCAATTAAAACAAAAGATCATTTATCACGTGATTAGTTTTGACATAAAATTAAATTGTGAAGAAAACAGAACTGATAAACTTAACTATATAATTCAATACTGTAACTTTCAATCATATATGCACATTTCACATACACTGTAATACCATACTATACACTAAAGAACAGTGAAACTTGCCTTACAAAAGGTTGCCTTTTCAGTGTACTCAGTATAATCTAAGTTGGTATATCTCTTTTTTCCCAAAAAAAGTTCAGCAGTTATTAATTTACGACTCATGTTAGAACACACACATCTGCATTTAACATGTCTGTTAGAAAAAGGTACATAAGGCTGCAGTACAAAGTATTTAGATGAGACACCAAACTACATTCAAACATGAGGCAAGATTAAGTAACAGTCAGCTTTTATGTCTCCTAAATGTGCTTTCTAAACATTCTTATTGCAGACAGGCATGTGTGGGAGAGGGGATCAATTTCACTTTTAGCACAGTATGCAAAAGTAAGGAATATATAACCTGCAAGCAAAATAGAGCGGAGTTGCCCCTGACACATTCGGCCTGTTTATATCAGCACCGCTGTCGAGCAAGCACTGCACCGTCTAGAACAGAAAAAAATACCGGTATTAGAAAAAAGCAACAGAAAAGTCTATTGGTTTGCTACTATTTAGTGTCATGCATGTCTAATTACACTGAAGGATTTAATTTTCCATAATGAATCTCAAAACCAAAATTCCTAATCACTATATGGAAAATCATGGCTGTCAGAGCTCATAAAGCTTTCTTTGAACTTCCCATTTTTTATAACAATGCCTTTTACTGATCTTCAGCTAATCCCAAAGACCCTTGGAACTACAAGCCATTTAAAAAGAAAACTGACATTTTTTAGAGAAGTAAAGCTCACATTAGTGACAGCTATAAACAGCCTTATCACAAGCTGAAGATTTAAACGCTTGATGAAATAGGATAAAATAAGTAAGCAAATGATGAAATAAGCAAGCAAATCCCAAAAACTGAGCAGACTCTCAAACAAACTTTGCTATATTCCAGTCACGCAAAGTGGAAAAGTCTGTAGTTAACAGTTTCTCAGAATTTGGTCTTCCAAAGTTGAGCTTTGACAATGATAACAGAAAGGAATTGGGTAGAAAGATTTAATTTTTATTTTAAATTTTTATTTAACTGTAAATAGTCCTGGAGACAATCTGTGTAACTCTACATACTGTAATGCAGTTCCATTAAAGCATCCAGACCTGTACTCTGAGAGTAGTTGTGAGCCCTAATGCAAGGGCAGGCCTAAAAATTATTCATGCAGATCAATAAAAGAGGAGTCCATGTGAACTTGTTTACTTCTAATATTAGATATTTAACTGACCCAACTCTGTAGTGATTTTTTATTCACAGTAAATTAGGATCATTTCAGATTTCAAAAGCACATGATTGCTGGTATAATTATAAATTAAATACATTCTAAAAAGTAAGGAAGAATATTTTTAAATGTTTAGCATTACATCAAAACCTGCTACCAACAAAGCAATAACAGTACTACAGAATGGCCGAATAGTATACAGTAAGTCCCTTAAGCTCCCATAAACACTGAGGTCAACCATCTCCACAAGAATAGAGTTGTTCCCATTCAAGTGTATGCAGTCAATACCAAGACAAACAATAGAGTTCTTCACACTTCCAACCATTATAAAGTGCATGACTAGCCTGAAGTTTATAAAGAAAATAGACACAGCAATATCAAGGCATTACCCAATTCTTCACAAAGCCATTGTGTTAATAAAATTTAAAAACTTACTGTCTTATGTCCATTTTGACAAGCTACATGAAGAGCTGTCTGTCCCATTGCATCTTCAACATCTACATTACTGACATGCTGAACAAGATCATGAAGCAATTCTGTTCGTCCATTGACAGCCAACCAATGAATCTAAGTAAAAATGATTATGTTTTCTTTAGCAATGATAGAAATAGTTCACAAATATTATTTTAAACCTGACTGTGCTACTGTTGATGTTTTAAAAGAGAAGTTTTGAACAATAGAACAATACTATCATATGCTGAGGTACTTAGATCACAGCTTTTGATTCTTAAGGGCACTGGACACACAGCAGTTGTAAGAAGGCATGTAAGAAGGCAGAAGCTTAAGAAATGAGAACCTTTAAATTCTTCATTAAGATCGCCATTATAATGAGTAGCACTTACTGCAGTCAGGCCTTCATTATTACAAATGTTGACATCTGCACTGTATTCCAGCAGCTTGCTCATACATTTCTTCTGGCTACAAACAAAACAATACATTAAAACCCAAGCAGGAAAAATCATTTATGAAGACCAAGTATCTTAGAACTCCACTCACTCTAATTCATCATTGTACAAACTACAGCAGGCAGTTCTACTTTATAAGGAGTATGGTGCTGACCATGTGAAAAAGTGATCATCAGTAGCACCAGAGACTCATGCAGTGCAAGTGTAGTATATGACAGCACAGGGTTAAAAAACATAGCTGAAAGTTTTTTGTGGAAACCACAGAAGTACTTCACCACTACTCTAACAGCTTCAGCTCAGCATGAACACTCTCAGTGCAAGAAGCTAGAGCTCAGCTAATAGAAATCCATGAAGCTCATCATCATCTGTACACTTTAGTGAACACATTTACAGTACACCACTAAATCACTAAATAACAAGACGCTCACTGTAATCTATATAAATCTCTGGCAAGAACAATAGCTGCCTTAGTGAAAGTAGGGGTGTTTTTCCTACTTCTTGTTTTATTTGGTCTTTTAATGCTCTCCGGTGCTCCAAGTCCTTTACCCTTAAGAGTTTATTCTTACTTTTCCTTTTTATTTGGTACTTCTTACGATTTCTCATGCCTTCTGCCCACCTGTCTCTTGTGCATATTTCTGCATTTCATCACGTACCACTTGGCTGCTTCCGTCTCCTTTCTCCCACATACCTTAAAGTCACTAAACACTACCTCCTCATTTGAAGTATGAGCCATGATAGAATTCAGTTACTGTAACACATACCTGCTCTAAAACCAAAAAACCAAAATTACTATTAGCAGGTGTATGTTTCCACATATTGCAATTCAAGAAATAAGACCTTAAAAGATCTTAAAAAGGTGCTTGCTCATCATTTTCAGGTGGGTTTTTTTTCCTCTCTCCTAATATTATGCAGGCAAACTTAGTATTCCTTTGCTTGTAGTAAAAATTTCCTTAGAGACACTACCTGAGAAAACTCTGAAATACCTGCATCTTCAAAATCCTCCAGTGTCCTCTTTGAAATCTTTTCTTACTTAGCTAACTGGAAAGTGAATGTACCCCTTGTTCAATCACTGTTGTAATAAACATTAACCTCCTACTTAACAGAAAACACTAAAATAACTGGCACTGAAATTGGCATTTCAGACATAACTTCCTACTCATTAAAAAAAAATATTTTCTGAATATTCAAAGTAACTTTAATGAACCCTATAAGTGTGCCATCCTATTATCAAAAGTGAAAACCAAAGTATTTTGTTTCAAGTATGCAAAAATATGGCAGAACATGTCAGCTCAAGTCCACTATGCACAAAACCTTTTTAAGAGTTTTAAAAACTTTCTTACCCGTTCCTTGCTGCTAAATGGAGAGGTGTGCATCCTGAAATGTCCTGATAGTTTGGATTTGCTCCTTTTTTTAATAACAGAACAAGGCATTCGACTGATCCACAGCTAAGAACAAAATAAGGAAGGGAGAAACTGTAACAAGGATATTTACAAACCAAATCTATATTGAAGACAACAGCTATACTACATACAGATTACATTCAGCAGAAAAATCTTTACACAAAACCATTTTTACACCCTCATCATTCAAGTTACACAAAGCTAAAGACACTTAAATGCAGTGAGAACTGAGTGATCTTAACTTGCACTACTGAACAGATGCTAGCCTTTCATGTGATTTTAGTGATTTTAAAACTCAACAATGAATCTTTAAGACTGCCAGTTGTTTAAAATATAAGCTGTTTAAAATGTTTTGCTTACAATTTCCTCTCACCTCCCTGACTTTAACCTAGTCACAGGACTGAATTTTCCATTAAATAACAATTCCAATATAATTCTTTTTGTTACACTTAAGTGTCCAGAAGTTATATTTAAAACTTGAAGAATCAGAAAAACTCATGCAAGTATTCTTTGCTATTTGTTTTGAACCTGTAACTCCATTTTTCTTTTCATCATAAAGAATAATCAATGTCACCAAGGACACAGAAACTTTGCATTGTATCTTTATCTTGCTCCTGAACTCTTCAAGAGGAAGAGCTGATTGGGAGGATAAACATACAGTATTTTCATATCTATCATGACCATCTTACCCATTGTTACTAATGTCCTCAATGACAAAACTGCTATCCAACAACCCAAAGAAACCGAAGACTGGCTGCACAGTAAGTTGCAAAACCAGCATCTCTGTGACCTCTTAATGACCCAACAACTAGCCAAGATAAAAAAGAATCCAGGAACTAGGTGTAACACAATTTCTTGGGGTTTATGATCAATGAAAACAGCTTTTCAAAGAAGCTTCTAAGATGTATGCTAAAATTTGCTTGCATTTCTTTTCGAGTACCTTCTCAAGTAAATTTTACATAAGTAGCATGCAATTCTGAGATAGAGTACCTGGGAAACATTTCTACAACAGTCTCCCTAGAAAGCTGGAATTTCTACCTACATTATGCCCAAGTACCTGCTATTTATATACAATGCCACTATTATTTATTTTTACTATTTTTCCAGTTTAAATGTAAGAGCTTTCTAGATATTCAAAATGGGACCCAGATATAAAACATTCACTCACTAGTTTAAAGCTTAGTTTCCTGAAAGGCCATTTCAAAAACTATATGGTTCATTTCTATTAAGGTAATGTTAATCTGGCTGTTTCTTGGCAATAAAGATTTATCCCCAGTGAAGAGCTACATAAATAATAAATAATCTAGGTCATGGAGTTGAAATTTGCACTTAAGCCTTTTATCTAGGATATAAAAAAATATTAGAAATGAGTAGCTAAGTTATATTCCCTTCAGGCTTGGTCATATGAAGTAGTTTCGCACAGCTGCTTCCCAACAAACATCGAAGTACTTCTCAGGGGTTTAGAATACTTCAAAGACAAGCATCACGTGCAGACAAGATTTCTCTAAATCCACAAAATCAAGAGTAATACAGCTATACAGGATATACATAACAGCTACATTTCTTCACAGACTGAGATCTCACAGAAAGGAAAAAAGTATCCACTTAGACTTCCTTCACCAGAATTTAGAAAGCCATTTGATACTGTGTGTAAAAATTACCCCCCTCAGTGAGGCAGGCACAGCGCTAAAAGAACAAACAGAATACAAAAAGGAAGTGTAAAAACAAAATGTTAACTGGTACTACAGAGTTTCCCAGCTTACATTGGTGCCTTAGATTTGTGGTAATACTTTCATTGTTAACTTCTGGACTGGACTGTCCTGGGTTCAGCTACAGCAGTCATTTTTCTACTTAGTAGCTGGCGCAGTGCTGTGGTTTTGACTTTCAGCCTGGGAACAACGCTGATAACACCGATGTTTTTAGTTGTTGCTCAGTAATGTTTACTCTGACCAAGGACTTTCTCAGTCTCATGCTCTGCCAGGGAGGAGGGGAAGCTGGGAGGAAGCAGAGGCAGGACACCTGACCCAAACTGGCCAAAGGGGTATTCCATACCACAGCACATCATGCCCAGTATATAAACTGGGGGGAGTTACCCAGAAGTCCCAGATCGCTGCTCGGGTCGGGCTGGGTATCGATCAGCAGGTGGTGAGCGGTTGAGTCCTCTCCCCTTCTTATTCCACTTATCATTATTATTATTGGTGGTAGCAGTAGTGGTTTGTATTATACCTCAGTTACTGGACTGCTCTTATCTCAACCCATGGGAGTTATATTCTTCCAATTCTCCTCCCCATCCCTCTGGGAGTGGGGAAAGGAAAAAGCAGGGGGAGTGAACAAGCAGCTGCGTGGTTCTGAGTTACCAGCTGGGCTTAAACCACAACAGGACTCAAGATAAGTCTTACTTTGCTGCAATATGAAGCAAACTTCTCTTCACACGTCCAAATGCATAATTCACATCAAATTTTGAATTTGACAGCAGCTCTGAGACAGACCTTCAAACAAAAATATAATTTTAATTAAAAGTATCTCACAATATCCAAGCAAAGTATATACTGTTCACAAGTACCCTATTTCTTACTCGATCACTATTTCTTTTAACTCCAACTAACAACATTCAACTTCTTTCAACTGTTTGCGTATTAACAGTACTTTTACTCCTTCACTTCTCACTTGTACATAAAACATGAACTGTAACACTGGGCAACTGTTTCAAACGTAAACTAGTAAGAATTATACCAGATGGTCAAATCACTTCATTACAAGCATGGAAAACAAGCATATTAATAGCTTTGGTTTGAAAAATAAATAAATTCCCATTTGCCTCCTTATCTCTACACATATACCCTAACCAGATACCCAGCAGCTTTCCCAAACACAGGCAAAGTTCAGATGGAAGACTGGTATGTGAAATCATCATAATGAAGTAGAACGACACATGATACGCCAACAGGATAATAAATTTAACTAGGACCCTTCAAGTCTTAATGAAGTAATAAAGATAAAATATTAGCTAAGAAAATATTCCAAAACAAGCAAAATTGAAAGTGAACTTGTGATTTCAACCTCTAATAACGAGCTGATCACATAACTTAAAACCCTTGCACGCAATCTCAACAAGGTATTATGTAGCAGAACAAATGTCTATCCTGATTAGATAAACAGTTTACAGTTTCAGTAAGATCTGCTTGCCTACAAAACTCACCAGAAGGTATCATCACTTAGCTGGCACTATACATCCCCCAGGTCCCAATCACTCTGAGGATCGCTGGGTAAAAGAAACAGCTGGTCACCTTTGCCAGAAGAACTTAATCTCACTGTACAATTCTTATTCCATGTCTTTCCAAGATGCCTAATGAGACTAAAAGTTGCTATGTCATTGGTAAATGCACACTCAGAGCTACACCCCAGATACAAAAAAAAAAAAAGAAAAAGCATTTCTTCTCATCCTAGGACAAATTTTTCTACGTGTATCAGCAGAACAAGTCTATGGCATAAACCAAAACAGGTTTCTCATGCTGGAATGCACACAGTCAGTGACTAACTTCAGCTCAGAAGATCTCAGCAGAATTGTTCAGCAGCAGGACTTGTGAGAGTGCTCCAGCAGCTACAACTCTTGCAAACATGCTGGTTTTTCAGACCTTAAGAACAAATAAAAAAAAAAAAAAAAAAAAAAAATAAGAAGAAAAAAAAGAAATGTAAAGCAGCTCTCACCTGTGCTGGTCAGCCATAACCATCGGCATTAGTGTATAGACAGCAGTTTCATTGTCTGTGAAAAAATCAAATTATTCCATTATAATAAATAAATCTTTTCTGTGAAATAAATTAATCTAGCAGCACTTCGTTACCTTTTAAACTGTCCATTACTCAATAGATTATTATTTTTGCACAGGTTATACGTAACTAAAGTTTCATTATAGAGAAAAAGCCACCATACTTAGAAGAGGTAATTAACAGGACTAATACATGAAGTTTCAATGTGACAGTTTTTTCTTTTAGAAAGTAATAATTACAGAATTTTCATTGCAGCATCATTTCTCTAAACTGACAATTCTGTTAAGGCAAAGTACTTAAGAATCGTGCATTAATTAAAAAAAAGTAAATAGCTTATTTTAAGAAGGAAATTTCCTGTGTTCCAAGGTCACTTCTGTAGTCCTGATACCTACAAGTTTGTAAAAATGATTTCTTTAAACTAGCTTGTTCCACAACCATTCATTTTTGTCTATAACCATGAATACCCAAATGCAATAAATTTCAATTTAATTTCTGATCAGTTTCTTACTCCATGTTTAAAGGGAATATAAAAAAGGGCAGAACACCAAGATCCAAGTCAATGGCGGGAATAGACTGACATTGAGATATACAGTCCCTGCCAGGACTTCCACTGCACATACCAGCATACTGTATGGGTATGACATGCCGGTTTAGCCACTTAGAGAATTTCTGGAGTAAAACACTATTTTTAAAGGACAATTTAGAGCAGAGATTTAGATTATATATTAGGAAAAAATTCTTCCCTGTGAGGGTGGTGAGGCACTGGAACAGGTTGCCCAGAGAAGCTGTGGATGCTCCAATCCCTGGCAGTGTTCAAGGCCGAGTTGGATGGGACTTTGCGCAACCTGGTCTAATGGAAGGTGTCCATGCCTGTGGCAGAGGGTTGGAACTAGATCTTTAAAGTCCCTTCCAACCCAAACCACTCTAGGATTCTGTGAATTCGACAAACCTTTAAAATAGAGTAATTATTAATAATATTGAGGTACATTAATTATTATTGAGGTATAATGATTATAATTTCCAGCTTCAAGCACACCACCCATTGTTGGGAGCACAATCTCCACAGTCTTTTCATGTAGATGCCAGCTTATGACAGGAAGTACTATACTTTCTGAGAACACAGGTATATAGTTCCAGGATATGGAAATATAGGACTGTTCTTATAAAACTTTCACTTTGAACTTTTTTTCAATATCTTAATGGATCCAAATGTTCCAAATTATCCGAAAAGTTACAAAGCCATCAGAACAGGAAGAATTAAACCAGACCCAAACAAGTATAACTTCTCATCTTTTATGTACATGCTTTTACACATTCAGTACTTCCACTAGATAGGCAAACTGACATTTACCAAATGAATTCTTCAGCCTTATCAAGCGGAGTCAAAGAAATCCTTCTCATGCTGCAGCTATGCTATTTGTTATTATTCTTCAACAGTACTCCAAGATCAGTGCTGCTACCCACTATTTGAAGCAGTCTGTTGGTAGCTTACAAAAAGAAAAAGCAATTCTAATCTATTATTATCTTTGAATACTGAAAAGAGATGTCATATTCAAACTCAAATAATAATTCCATTATTTATTTAAAAAAAAAAAAAAAACAACTGATGTTGCTTACAGTAAACACATGGTGGAAGAGACACAAACCTCTCAAACCACCAAATAACATTTCTAAGCTGTAGAAAGTCACTCTAACCGCCCCCAAGTTCAAGAGTTTGCACTGTCTATAGATTGTTCTTTATGGCAGAGCAATGTGAGCATTAGATAACTCCAGCCCCAACACACACCACTAGAATTTTTGTTGAGGTCCGAGAAGCAGGGAGGCTGGGTGGGAGAGGATAGACACACAAACAAGGAGAGTCCTGTAATTAAATTAAACAGATGCTAAGTAAAGATATGTATTGTGGAAAAGACTGGATCACTTTTTAAAAATGTATTCGTGATTAGCTTCCAGTGTATCTAAATGAAAAAAAAAAATTCTTGCTTGGGCTCTGTTCCAGAGATCTCTTGACAGGAAAATAAAGCTGTCAACTGAAACAAAAACCAGAACGTGAGAACGCAAACGAAATCTTAGACATCCTTAGAATTTCCACAATTATGCCCTATTAAAGAAAAGAAGCAGGGAGGGGAATTAAAAAAAAAAAAAAAAATAAGCTTTAAATACACCAGCACACAACTGAAATGCTTCATACTAATCCTAGTTAAACTTAACTGTATTGCAAGTATAGCAATTTAGAAAAAGACAATAGTTAAATATAAGTTACAAAACTAAGTTTTTGCTGTTCTATTAACAGAATCCACACTGTGGAGCATGTGCTGATTTTCCCATAACTTTTCCACACAGAAATAAAAGGATATGGGACTAAGGACCTTTTGTGCCTATTTTGGCAAGTGTTATCCCTGTTCATAAATAAACACTTATTAACTTAAAGTACATGACATCAGGAAAAGAAAACGCATTATATGCCTCATGCACTTGAAGTTGTGAATGCTCTAACCCTGGAGGCGTTTAAGGCCAGGCTGGACAGAGCCTTGGGCGACATAGTTTAGTGTGTGGTGTCCCTGCTCATGGCAGGGGGGTTGGAACTAGATGATCTTAAGGTCCTTTCCAACCCTAACTATGCTATGCTTCTATGATTATCTAACTTGCTTGCACGTCAAGTTATGAATATCTAAAGACAAAAAAAAAAAAAGCACTCAAAATGCAGACTCAGAACCAAACAGCCTAAAATCTACTCCTTTAGGCTGCAAGACCTAGCTTTTCAGGCACTTAACAGTGCCTGAATCCAGAAACACTTACTTTATTTCATAAAAGATTTTGGCTTGGATTTGGCAGAGATCACAAGCTTAAAAAAGCAGCAGCACCATCCATATAATACCTTAATGGCCACAGCACATGAAAGGAAATTAAATACCTGAATTTAGTGCCTTCTTGAGCATAAGGAAGTTCAAAAATACATCTCCATTTCCTAAAAGAGTACTATGACTCTCAGTTAAGGATGGAGAGGTAAACTATGTATCTATCAAATTAAAGCTATTTATGTACCAGGGGAGAGCGGGTGGAAATCAAAACTTAAGAGGCCGGACACAGCACACAAGAAACCACCAAACCACATGCCATACTAGACTGGTGGTGGTATTTTCTAAGCTGATCCCGTCAGTACATGTTTGGAGCAAAACACTACAACCCAAACCTGCTTCTCAAGAAGACTCCGGGCAGGCCTGCATGAACCTAGAGAACACCAAGGTAAAGAAAGAAGACATGTAATGAGCTTTGATGGACCCAAAGTTAGATGGCCGTTAATAGGTTTTCCTGGAATGTAATTTGAGACTTCAGTGGCTGAAAGTCCTTTTATCTCCTTATTTCAGTTCAGCTGCAACTTGTTTCATGTAATTCTTAGAGAATACATAGGATTGATAGTTCTTCTGCACCACAGGAAAAGAGAAGTACTTGTTCGGAAGTCATGGAGCTTGCACTTGCACTAGCATAGACTTGATTACCTCTGAAATTTAAGATGCCCAAGATAGGAAGAAAACAGCTGAACTCAAATTCAGAATGAATTTGCCTATTCTAATACTGGAGTAAACTTAAAGCAGCTCCAACTGGCATAAGTTGCACTACGCATCATTCATACTACCATCAGCAATTAGATAAAGTGGTGCTACTACATTATTTCTCCAAGCCTGAGCTTACACTAACGGTATTACGTCAGTTTTCACCACTGTCATTCTAAGGCTTGCTTGCAAGCAGCAGCAAAATCCATTTGAAACTTGTCTGTCAATTTTGTGAAACTTATGAGAGATTGCACTGGCAGACACTGAAACTGCTGGCAGGTGACAATAAGGAAAGGGTGTAGCAGCTCAGCGCAGGGGGAAGTCCATATGCAGCAGACAGGAAGTCCAAATGGGGAAGACATAGAGAAAACAGAATGTTACTTGCTTTTTTCCACCACCAGAGACGAAAAGCTGGCAGGCAGACAGCCAAAGACTCGTCTGTAAAAATAAACCCTGAAGAAAGTACAGTAACAGCACATGACTCACGGGAACTGAAACTTTCGTGTATCCAAAAGCTTTTACAGAGGTAGTCCTCCCAAAAGCTGGACCTAGCTGGAACATTAAACTACTTGCCATGAGAGTCTGAAGCTGTATTTTCACATCTATTCCGATATCGGACGGCTAGCACCCCTGTGAAGTAGTTTAGAGGCAGAAAAATTAGCCTGAGACCAGTGACTTACACCATTTCATACAAAATTCGGTGCTATTAACAAAAACAAACTAACAAAACCACCAAAGATTTGTCATCAGTAGTGATGACACAGACGAAGCACCTAAGGAAGGATTCAAAGCTGGACAAAAAGAGGGTCCATCACCCCGGACCACTCTCTTGCCCGGGCCCAGGGGCAGCAGGGGCACGCCGCGCCCTGCGTGCCGGCCACCTCCGTCCTTCAGCGGCGAGACACCGGGGAACTAAAGAAGACAACGCGGAGGTCGCTGCTGTTGTTGTTATCACCGCTACAA